TTTTAGATCTCTCTCTCTCTCTCTCTCTCTCTCTCTCTCTGAGAGTCACACTGTGGGTTAGGGTTTCAACACATGAATTTGGGAGGGAACACAGTTCAGACTATAACAGATATTACCAAGTGTCTTTTTGGAGAAGGGGACAGGGAATTGCTCATTGTTGAGAACCACTGGCAATAGGCAAACAAGGATGTGATAGTTTAGGGAAAGTTCTTACTGAGGAGTAAGTAAATTAAGACGAGATTGTACAGGGACTTCTATGTTACCATAAAGAGTGTGGCTTTCATTGTAAAGCTTTGATGTGATATGTGACAAAGGATATTTCAATTTTAATATTTAAGAAAATGCCTGAAATAGAAGACCGCAACAGATGTGTCAATAGCATGTCGACACAATGCATAGTATGCAGCCATTAAAAGACAGTAAAATGGGATTCATGTAGATTCCGTGGATAAATTTAAATATTCGTATAATGCAGACTTTCGAGTTAGGGAAAATAAGCCATTTCTGCTTTGTGAAAGATGACTCTAATGGCAGCCTTGATTCTAGAACAGTGGTTTCCATCCAGCAAACTGTTTTATTTAAAAAGCCAAGTTATATTTAAAGAACTGTTTTCTATTCTGAGAATATGGTACTTTCTATTTTTTGAAGTTGATCGGTATTTTTAAATTATTATTATGAAATGACAGTGAGAGTAGATGATATTGGTTTCCTGACCCCAAAAAAATTTTTTAAAGGCCACCCTATGTACTATGTCAGTTCTCAAAACCATTTTTTAAACCTCTATAGTGAAATCCCTAAGTTTAAGGCCCTTAGCAAGTAGGGGAGACTTGCTAAGATGTTATTATTGATAAAAATATTGATAAGAACTTAGGTGAAGGCTCTTAGGAGGTTAGATGGGAGAGAATGGGTTGCAGAAAGATTTCTAATGTAGAATTAAGAAAACTTACTTGTCAACTGAGTGTGAAGAGGGAGGAGTTGAGGATGATACCCAGGTTTCTGGCCTGGGTTCTTGGGTGGATAGTGGTACCACTCTGTGAGATAGGGAATAGAAAAGGAGGAGTAGGTTTTGAAGGAGGTGGAGGGGAAGATAAGCTTTGGGTATTTTGAGTTTGACATGCCTGCAGAGCACCCAAGCAAAGATATCTAGTAGTCAGTTAACAACATGGATCTGGAAATAGTGAGGATTATTGGGGCTTGCTTAGGTGTGGTAGAAAGCTATAAATGAGGTAGTTCAGAGAGAAAAGGACTAGGAAGAGAACACAACACAGGACACTAATATTTTAGGGTTTTGTTTGTTTGTCTAAAATGAACAAGGGTGGGAAATTTTGTTAAGGAAACTACAAAAGAACCATAGAACAAGGAAAAAATGCTTTAGAGAATGATTGCATGGAAGTGAGAAAAAAATGTTTTACAAAAGTTTGTTCAGCTGTATCAACTGTTGAAAAAAAGTTAATAGTATGAAGTTTCAAAATAGACCATTGATTTCAGCCACTAGGTTGTCACAAGATATTGGGATGTACTATCCCAGACAGCAGTTCGAGGAGCAAAGAATCCTTTATCTGAAACCCATTTCCTCAATTACTCTTACAATGCTCACTTCTTTTGTTCTTCTGGAGAACACCTTTCTTTAAATTAAACGTGGCTCTCTTACCACATTCTCTTGTATGATTTTTTCCCTATTTTAGTTATGTGCAAAGATATCCTAAGTTACCTTTTATCTTACAATATATTATTATTTCCTTTTGTAACTGGAGAATAGTTAGATAATAATAGAACTTCTTTAAGCTCCCCCAAATCTTTATGTAGCATCCATGTATTTAGGCTAGACATACCTGTGTATCTCACACCATCTATACATTTAAAAGTTGTATGTATAGCATTTTTAACCATAAAGATATAAAAAAAAATCCCTAGTATTTCCCTTAATGTCAAGCAATCAAGCTTTCCCAACTTTTTTCTTAAGATTTTTCTTAACCCATTGCCAAATGTCACATAATATATGTGTGCCTTAATATACTTAGACTATCATATAATCCACGCAAATGGAAAAATATGGCTTACTGAAAATAATGTTAGCTAAAACAACACTATTGTGCCAGACATTGTACTGTTTTCAGTGCTTTTTCTTCATTTTGAAATTTAATTTCTATATCCCATAATGTGGCACTTATTATTCTCATATTACAAATGAGTAAATCTAAACTTGGAGAGACTAAGTGACTTGTCCAAAGCCATGCAATCAACAAAGACTTCAAAGAAAATAAAGCTGGGGGTAATTATGTTGTCCATCTTGGAATCAAAATTTTCTTGGCAAAAAACATTTTTTGGACACAATAATGAACATGTTTTATTACAATGCGTTCATTTTATAATAGAAAAGTATCTAATAAAATTTTTGGTTTTGATAAATTACCTAGTTAACCATCTGAGACAAAATGACTTCATATAATTAGCCAGAAAAAAATATTCTAGCAGGTACTAGTATTGCGTTACATTTATTGCAGGTTCTCTTAGAGTCTTACTTAGTTTTTCAATATTTCTCATTCTTTTACCCCATTCAATTTCCTCTTGCAGAGAAAATCAGATGGAAATAGGAATGTCTTGGGCTGCTATTTGAAGTATAGTTAACTTAGTTACCTCAAACTCTTCAGACTCTGGAAAAAAAAAATCACCCAGCAAATATCCATTATCAAACTATTAAATATGTATTTTTTTTTTACTACTACCTTAAAGTTTTCTCCTCTTGCCTCTTTACAGGAGAAATACAGTACAATCCCTTTGCAGCAAAGAAACAGTATTTTATTTTATTATTGCATTTGAGCATTTTATTTTTTTCACCAAACTTTATTTTGACATTGATAATTCTGTAGATCAACTGACACCTCACCTTTGTCAAAATTCATATCTCAAGCCTACAGGTTTTGTCCTCCAGGATCCTGTGTCTTCTAGAGTGGGGTCTAGGGTAGTAAACATGACTCAAGTGTTCCCAGAACTTACTGAGGAACTGAGAAGATTCATAACAAGGCTTCAAAGCATTTTTGGTGAAGCAGATCTTACTTATAAGGATGTTAATAGCTTCTGGCTGTAGCTTTGCTCCTCAGCAAAAACGAGCTTTGATTCTTCCTGTTGTTAACCAGCTACATCTTGCCCTCAATCTGAAGATCTTTTAGACCCTTTAAAAATTCCTCAGCTTTGTGATAGACTAATGCAGAATAGAAAATAATTAATAAATGATGTAAGGAAAGTATTAGCATCTCATTTTATTATTTCTTTATAATCTGTTTCATTGAATGCTAAACTTTAAGGGTAATATTTGTATCTTATTCAGTTTTGCATCTTCCACCAAGAAAAATTACTTCTTGTCTACTATCAATAAATATTTACTGATTTGAAATTTCAAGTGGGAAGGCAGAATACAGAATTATTAAATTTTTGATGCCTGATGACCTGGGTTTTAAGTCTATTTACTTGCTGTATAACCTGGTGCAAATTCTCTAATTTCCTCAACTCAAAAGTGGATTAAATGAGATAATGCATGTAAAGTACTTTGCACTTCACAAGTGCTATTTATTCATACAATGAGTATTTACTAAACTCTTATTATGCTCTAATTTAGAGGTAGGTGCTAGTGATAAGAGTATAAAATATTCAGGATTCTTGTCTTCATAAAACAATCACACAAATAAATTAATTACAAATTGCCATGAAGAAAGGGTTAAGAACTCAGAGGTTCTAAGAGGAGGGCCTGATTTAGATTACTGAGATAGGATTCTCTGTGGGAGTGGCAGTTAAACTGAAACTTGAAGGATGAGATTCTGTTTCCTCACTCTTACTCTCGTTTGTCTGGCTTCCATCTGTCCACCTATATACAAAGGGGCGCCCACCCCCAAACTGGAATTTTCTTCTGGAGGGCGAGCCCTTTGCAGTACAGGCTTCCCCTGCTAGGTGAGTGTTCTAGGAAACCATCTGTGTCAGTGTACCAGCTGAGGGTTTTGTGAGTGCCTGCATTCGGCTTCTGCGATTTTTTTGTCTCTCAAAGCATTTGCCGATTTCGTGATGGGTGATTACCAGCGCACCTGCCCACACTGCAGAGTGTTCAGCAGTTTTTGACCAAAAAACCCCAGCAAGCTGCCCCCTCCCTATTCACCGGAACTCTGCCTCCCCCCAACTCTCCAACCCCCGCCCCCTCCCCAGCAACTAGTTTATCCGGATCAAGAAAAAGTCCTCAAAGAGGAAAGTTCTGCTGAAGTGGAAGAGGTGAAACAAAAAACTGCAGAAGCACTAAAAGGCATCAGAATCCATCAGTTCCAAAAATTCTGGGCAGTGGAAAAAACATCTGGATAGGTGTATTGTACCACATGGACAGTACTTTTAAGGGGACTGAAGTTTAAAAATGTAAGGATAAACACACAATTTTTTATAAATTCCGTTTTTTTGAATCCTCCCTCCTAGCTCTAAGGTCACCGTCTTCCGCGTGACTATATACATCTGACATTTTTCAGTCCTCTTATTTGAACTTTCAGTAGCACTAAACGCAGCTGATCACTCCCTCCTTGAGACGCTGTGTTCCCTTGTATCTTCCTGCTCCTCAGTCCCCTTTGCAGGTTTGTCTCAAGTGCCTGGACGGCTTCGCCTGAGCTGTAATTGTGAATAATAACGCAGTCTCTCTGAGCCATAAAAAAAATTAGCGTGTACAAGTGAGCACTTTTGCAGCCCCTTTCCTCGCTTCCGGGACCCTTTATAAAACCGTGAATATAAAACTTTTTGGTTCCAATAGATACTCCCCTCTCGCGGACCGCGCCTGTCCACAGGCGTAGGCATTCAACCAACCCTACGAGGACAGATTTGTGTCTGGAATACCTGGCACGCGGGAGGAGCCTGGTGTCCAGTCTAGCAGCCAGGGCCGCCTCCGCCCCAGTGACTAGCCAGCCACCCAGCCCCAAGCGGTCCCCGCAATCGAGTCCTCCGCCGTCCCAGCATTCCCTGCGTCCCACCATCGAGAGCGACTTCCGGTGTGGCTGGTGTAGGTGGGTGAAGACGGAGCGGGCTCCTGCTGCTCGCTCTCACTCCCTCGCGCTCTCTCGGGCAACATGGCGGGCGTGGAGGAGGCAGCGTCCTCCGGGAGCCACCTGAATGGCGACTTGGATGCAGAAGACAGAGAAGAGGGAGCTGCCTCTACGGCTGAGGAGGCGGCCAAGAAAAAAAGACGAAAGAAGAAGAAGAGTAAAGGGGCTGCCACGGGTAAAGGGAGTTACATGGTTTTCCAAGGGTGGCCAAGCGAGTCGGCTCAGGCCCCGGCGTGGGTGACAGACCGACGACCCGGAGTCCCGGACTTCACTGATTGCCAGGACTGAGCGTGTGGGAAGGCCAGGCTACCGATTCTCAGTTCCGGGGAGAGGCAGTTTCTCCCCCTGTGGGATAGAGAGCTGGTGGAAGCGGGGGTGGGGGAAGTAAAGGGCACCGCAGCCTCTCGCGAGGTGGCTCTGGGGTCGGTAGGCCAGAGCCCCTGTATTGCCAAGAGCTCAGCTCCCACGTAGACCGTGCAGTGGACTTGAAGCCGTGCAGTGGACTTGAAGCCGTGCACGGATCCCAGCCCTATCTTCCTCGTGGTTTGGCCTCTTCAAAAATCTGGCTGTGACCCGTACACTCGCCTCTTCTCCGGAGCATCCTGGGACTGACGTTTCGTCGAGGGTGGGGGAGAAGTGACCAAGTCCTAGTGCCTAGACCGCACGTTACCCCACCACCCCAGTTTACCGAGGGATTTTTGTGGCGGGCTGCACTTTTTGGGGGGGAGGGGTGTATGCCCACGCGCTCCTGTCACTGAGTTGTAATTGCAGAGTGCTGGGCTGGTGGTGCAAATTCTCACCTGTGTAATCACACAGCATCGTCATTCTTTAGGGTTTTTAGGCCTGAATTATGATGCCATTGCGGGCAGTCCAGATACTGTGTGGCTCGAAGTGGCACTTTTCCAAATCTGCTAGTAAGGCAAGGAAAGCAGCTAAAACTTTACACTTGGATTATATTGTGAGCTAGAAGCGTAAATATTCAGTTTTGAAAATTGAGCGTTTTTGTTGCATGGGATCCTTCATTTTAGGAAAAATTATTTTTACCTCTTAAAGTGAGCCACAGAAAGAATGAGAGAAAAATGGGGAAGCCAGAAGGGATGATTGGTGGAGGTGAGAAAGGTTGGAGAGGGTTAATTTATATTTTTCTGAAGTTTGGATTAGATGGGAGTTGAAGAGGGGGAGTTGTAGGTGCTGGGGCACTTCCAGAATAAAATTTAATCCCAGGACATAGGCCAGTGGGTTCTTCTTGGCTTTCAGATGCAGTCCAGATTCTTCAGTTTGTCCTTTAAGGTGTTCAGCAGACTGACCCTAATATGTTTTTAACAACTGAAACTCTCACTATGAATCTTCTACAAAAAAAAAGTATTACTTCATTATGCACTACCTGGTAACACTGTCTCTGTCTACACACACCCATTGCTCCTCTAGCTAGATTGTTAGTCACTTCTAGAGCTTATGCTTAGCTGTTCAAGAATTTTTTTAGTATTGGAATATCATTTTCTATTTTGATTTTACCTAGCCCCAGCCTGACAGCTTCTTTCTTCATGAATCCGTGAAGTTACCGACCAGTGCCGTGTCCCACAGAAATCCTTTTCTTAACTAAGGCCTTCAGCATTTATTGCCTGTCTTAAGTACTTGTTTGGTTAATAAAGTGTTTGTTGTACTCTCATTGTTGAATACTTTAAAAAGTTCAGCTGCTTAAGGATAGGGACCAACTTGCACTTCTGTTTGAACTTTAGCAGCCATCACAGAGAATATGTAACAGACATTTTGTTGAATGGAAAATACTACTTAGATTTGGTAGACTTTTCTGTCATTAAATAAATTTTATTATGTTCATAATAATGGTTCTGGGTTTTTAAAAAATTTTATTTATTTTTAGAGAGAGGGGAAGGGAGGGAGAAAGAGAGGGAGAGAAAAACATCAACTTGTAAGAGAAACATGGATCAGTTGCTTCTTGCATATGTCCCAACCAGGGACTGACCTGCAACCCAGGCGTATGCCCTGACCAGGAATTGAACTGGTGAGCTTTTGCTTTGCGGAGTGATGCTCAACCAACTGAGCCATGTGGGTCAAGGTAAAATGTTTTTGTTTTTGTTTTTGTTTTCTAAACACTTATCAGGAAAGGACTTGTGTGCACTTCAGTATCCTTACAACTTATGCTAAAGGGAAAAGTATCTTTATTAGATTTGATTTATGTTATAATATTTGATCATCAGGGCAACAAGAACCTGATAAAGAACCAGGAGCTTCAGTTGATGAGGTAGGAAGACAATTGGAAAGACAAGCACTGGAAGAGAAAGAAAGAGATGATGACGATGAAGGTAAATGGGTAATTTGATGTTTGTTGTTAGAAAAGCAAGAAAATGAGATGCTCTTTAAACAAAATCTACTTGTCTGCATGGCCTATTATTTTCTGACTTGTTTCATAATTGACAGTAAAACCTCAGAGTCACAGATAAAAAGGAAAAAATTTATTAGCAACTCTTTAAAAAATTGGATATGTTGAATAATGCTCAAATAACACTGTTCTCAACTTTGAAAAAATGTACTTGGTAAAAGACCAAGTAGTAGGCGAGTGTTAATAAGATAAAATTGATGGGCTTGTTTATTTAACTAGTATTTATTGAACAACTAATATCTACTAGGCACTACCTTAGGATACTTTCACATGCATTCTCATTTTACCTTTGGCAAAACCAAATAAAGTAGATGCTCTTTTCAGGAAATGATAGTTACGTGATATTCCCAATGTGTCATAGCTAGTATGTGTAGAATACAACCAGAGTTTCAAATCTAGCTCTTGATTCCAAGTCTGTTCCTTTTACTCTCTGTACCAAAGCTACACCCATTTTTTTCCCGTCGAAGGAGCACATTGGAGTGCATCTGAACTCTGTTATAAATTCCCCGATCCTAGCTCTTTGTGGTATTTTGGTGCTGTTAGATTTCTGTGAAATGGCAGCTCTTAGAATCCTAGGGATTGATGCTATCAGTAAGACAGTAGAGGAAGTAATTAATTAAAGAGAACTATTCTACAGCATCTTTTGGCAGAAGGGTAGATGGGGCTTTCCATTCTCTGCTTTGACCAGTTACTGCTCTGCCTCAAGCACTGCCATCTTGGACTTTTGCCTTTCAACCCTTAACAACAAATACATGCTGTATTTTAATTATTGTGTTAGGGTAATGCAGAGTAGTTGTTTTTCCTTTAGAAAGGTATAGTCTATTGTCAAGAATTTGGTTTAAAAAAAAAAGTACTAAGATTCAAGGGAATGGTTAGCTTTTCAACTTCCTTAAGCAGACTTCTTGTTCATTCTGCCTTTGGTTATGCTTCAGATTATGAACATATTTTGAGCTCTTAACAAGAAAGGGTGTCATGAATTCAAAGTAATAGGTTACTATAGACCTATGTGTAGACTGTCACAATGCTGATCTTGACTGGGCCTTGTTCTGTTGCACCTCTACAAAGTTGTATGACTCTTGACATCAAAGGAAAAACTTTCTTGTCAGATTGGAAATCTTAAATGTTTTAAAGAAGATTTCAGGAATATTAGCAATTTTCTCCATTCTTTTCCTAATTCATTTCAATAATCAGGATCAATCAACAGTACTAATCTGGTGTGAGAGGTCTTTGAGGGGATGAAAAGCTGCATTTCAGACTCTTGGTTCTGAGGAAAACCGATGGTGTAGTGGAGAGACAAAACCTATAGGTGGAAAGATAAGCTACAATAAAGTTTGTTGAAATTTGGAGATGGAATTGTGGGCTGAATGCTAAAGGAAGGCTCAGTGGAAGGAATGGGACTTGATTAAAACCAAACAGAAGAAACTGTTTGGGGGTGGAACAATGCTGAGAAATGAGGAAGTTTTCAAAGTGTGGTGAACAATGCAAACTAGCCATATGAGACTCATTGAGGAAGAATGTTACGAAAAAAATAATTTAGTCTTTCTATATACACACAGTTGTTAGAAAAGAGAACATACAGGAAAGGCAGGGAGATCATTTTGGAGACTACTTAACAATAGCCTGGGCATGCCGTATGATGGTTTAAGTTGGTGGGCAAAAGTGAGAATGGAACAGAAGGGTCCAGTGGCACAGTGGTTGTGGAAGCAGAATTCAGAGAACTTGAGACTTTCAATCTGGGAAGGAGATGCATTAGTTAGCTGCAGGGGGTAAACTTGAGTGATGGGATGTGGGTGCTATTGACTGAAATGGTGAAGAAAGAAGGGAGAGCTGGTTAAAAGATTGGGGGAGGGGGTTTTCAGGCAAGATGAGAAGGTTTTGAGTTCAATTTTAGTTGGGTTTAATTTGAAACTTGGGGATATAGATGTGAAAAGTTGATCCTATGGACATTTGGCAATGTGCCTAGAGGTAATTCATTCAAAAATTTTAACTCCATTTTATTAAGGTATAATTTGCCTAGGATAATGTTCACTGTTAAAAAAAAAAAGACTTTATGTTTTAGAGTAGTTTTAGGCTCACAGCAAAATTGAGCAGAAGGTACAGACAGGTTTTTCATATATCCCCTACCACCAAGCATGCGTAGCCTCTCCCATTATCAACATCTCGCATGAGAGTGGTATGTTTATTACAATTGATAAACTTAACACACATCATTACCACGCAAAGTCTGTAGTTTTTATTAGGGTTTACTGTTGATGTACATTCTCTATAGCCACCCTTTTTTAAGTGCATGTTGAATTTTGACAAATGTATGCATTTGTGTGACCACTACCACAACCAAGATAGAGACCACTTCCATTTGACATTTACATCCCCACCAAACGTTCCCTTGTGCTCCTTTGTAATCAGTTTTCTTCCTTCACACCCTGTCCCCTGGCAACCACTGATAAATTATCTGTTCCTTCAGGTTTTTTCTGCAATATCATATAAATGGAATTATTAAAGTATACTGCTGTTGTGGTGGTTGGCTTGTTTCACTCAGTGTAATACTTTTGGGAGTCATCCAGTAGTTGTATATGTATCAGTAGTTCATTACTTTTTGCTGAGTAGTATTCCAAATTTGTTTATCCATTTACTAGTTGATGGATATTTCCAGTTTTTGTTACAAATAAAATTACTGAACATTTGCATACAGGTCTTTGTGTAGACATGTTTTCAATGCTCCTGAGTAAATACTTAGGGATAGGGTTGTAATTAATATGTGAAGTGTATGTTTAATCCCATCAGAACTGACTTTTCCAAATTGTCTACTATTTTGCATTCCTGTCAGCAGTTGTAGAGAGTGCCAGTTTCTATCTTTATAAGCACTTGGTATTGTTAATTTTAAAATTTTAGCCTTTCTAATAGGTATGTGGTGATAGGTCATTGTTTTAATTTGCATTTCCCTAATGACCGATGATGTTGAACATTTTTTCATATTTTTATTTGCCTTTCTTGTATTTTTAGTGAAATATTTGTTAATATTTTTTGTCTATTTTTCTGTTGGATTATTGACTATTTTACTGAGTTGTAATAATGTAAGTTCTTTATCAGATATATATGTTTTACAGATATTTTCTTTGTAATACCATACTGGTATTGTTTGCAACAGAAGAGATTTTAAGTTTGATGAGATCTAATTTATCTGGTTTTTTTTCCTTTATGGGTCATGCTTTTTGTGTTCTATCCAAAATGTTAAATAATTGCTGTCATGAGCATTGTCTTTTAAATTCTTTTCAAGGAGTTTTATGCATTTTTCACTTTTATGTTTAAGTCTCTGTTCCAGTTAGAATTAATTTTTGTATATAGAGCAGGGTAAGGATTAAGGTACCTTTTTTGCATATGAATGTCCAGTTGTCATTCAACAAATGTTACTGATTTGGACACAAATATGAGCAGTCTCTGCCTATTAAGATATGTAAAAACCTAAATTGTGGCATGATATGATGGGTGGAATTATAATAGTTTAATAGATCCTGGCATGAGGGTTCAATAAATGGTCCCTTGCATACATCTTGAAGCAATTTAGGTTGAGTCTGTGTATGTAGCAGTATGCTAGAGATTGAATGTTCTTCCAGAGCAAACACTATCTTGTGTACTATTCTGTCTTTATTGCCTGGCATTTAATAACTGAGCAAACATTTATTGGATAAATGAAGAAGGTTACAATTGAAATTGTAGTACAGAATACATGAATTAGATCATACAACACATGAGTAAAGTGAAGGTTGTGTTTTCCAAAATTTTTTTCGTTATTATCTTTCTTAGGCTTTTGAATCCAGAAACCAATAAGTCAGCAATATATGTTTCCACTGTGTTCTTACTGTTCTCTAGGCTCAAACAAAAGAAATTGCAATTTTATAAGTCAAATATTGGCAATTTCCTATCACTCAACCCACTTAAAGTCCTAGATCAGGGCTATCCAACTTTTGGTGTCTCTGGGCCACACTGGAAGATTTGTCTTGGGCCACACATTAAATACACAAACACTAACAAAAACTGATGAGTAAAAAAAAAAAAAGTCTGTGCATAATTTTTGTGATATCCGCCACCACAAATAAGCAAAAAAGTCCTCACATAATAACCCTAATTATGCAGTGGCCCTTTCAATAATCTTTTAAAATCGTTGAGCGGGTCCCAAGTTTGTGATCACTAATACAGAAAATGTACATATCTGAGTAATACAACTTAGTATAAAACTAAGTAATACTTTAAGTAAATTTATGATCTTTGTTGGGCCTCATTCATAGCCATCCTGGGCTATCCTCTGCAGCCTGTGGGCCGCGGGCTGGACACCCCGCCCTAGATTGTGCTACCTCCCTCTTTGCTAAACTGCAATTTCCTGTTTCCCCTTCAGGTAAAAATAAATTGAAGCAAGATAAAATAAACTAAAAGAACATTTATTTATTGAATAGACTAAATATTTACCACATGCTTGGCACTGTGCTTAATTTAAGAAATGGTTCCTCTAATCCTTGAGGAACTTACAGATGAGTAGAGGTCAGTGTAAACCAATGATTACAAATTTTTGTGATAATTATAATAGAGGAATACAGTAGGTAGCATGTCGAGGAATTTCTCTTATGGCTTCTGCCTATCATTTGAGGAATAAAAATGAAGCTCTTTGAGCAGAAAGTGTAAGCAGTCGTTTGTCATTTTATGGGAATGGATTTCACTTGCACTAGGTGAAACATTTAAAGAATACTATATGGGCAGCATTTTATTTTAAACTATTCTAATTGAGACAGCGTACTCTTCATCCATTTCATAGCAGTGACGTTTGTGGGTAAAGTAGCATACTTGAGAAATCATTGTTGAAAGTAGCATTTTTAGAAATTGAGACAGTTAGGCCTATGTTTGAGATCTTCATTTAAAATGTTTTAAGTTGCTATTTAATCTTCGTCATCGTAATATCCTATATTGCCCCAGCGAGGGTAACTCGGTTGGTTGGGTGTCTGTCCCACAGACTGAAAGTTTGCTGGTTTGATTTCCAGTCTGGGTACGTGCCTGGGTTGTGGGTTTGGCCCCCATATTGGGGCACATACAAGAGGCAGCCGATCGATGTTTCTCCCTCTCTCCCTCACTTTCCCTCTCTCTAAAATAATAATAATAATAATAATTCGTTATCATTTCTGAGAGGTCAAGGGTATGGGTATGGGCTTCATGAAAGATTATTCAAAAAACTGAGAAGCAGATCTTCGCTGTTTTGGGTACTCTTCTGCCAGCCATTTTTCAGAATAGTCCTTAAGCTTCATTTTTGGGTATCAGAGAATCTGAGAACTCTGAAACTAGGAAAAGTAAAATATGCTCTTCTATTTTTGCATACAATTTGACCCAGAAAGAGTTGTTTATAACAACTGGGCAGGAAAAGATACTTTAAGATGTGAGACCCCAAATATCCACGCTGGTTTAGGAATCATGTGATATATTCATTCTTGGTCTAATTTTGCCATTTACCAGTTGGGATTATCTTAGGTTTGTCCCTTAAACGGTTGCCTTGAGGATCACATGAGGTCATGAAGTACAAGTGTTTACCTGCAAAGCATATGTAAATTGTGTAACTAGTATTATTTTAGTTGAAGTCACACGGTTATTGGTGTTAAAATAACACTAGTTATTTTTCCTAGTAAAAAAAAGAATGTTATTTGATACATTTTTTATTCTTTTTTTTAAAGATTTCATTTATTTATTTTTAGAGAGGAGGGAGGGACAGAGAAAGAAAGGGAGAGAAACATCGATGTACAAAAAGAAACATGGATTAGTTGCCTCTCACATGCCCCTGTCCCCCTGGCCAGCAACTCAGGCATGTGCTCTGACAGGGAATCGAACCCATGACCTTTTGGTCATGGGGACAGCACCCAACCCACTGAGCCACGCCAGTCAGCACATATTTTATTCCTAAAAATATCTTATTCAGCATTTCTTTTATTAGAGTAAGTCCAACTAAAGTGGAGTAGTGCTTTTGATTACGCAAGTAAAATTCTGATACTTAAAGCCAGAGATGTGAAAAACACTATGAGTATTAGGTCAACTTTGTCATGTGCTATTCAAGATACAGTGTGTGTGTATACGCCTGTGCACTTGTGCTTGTTTCATCCTTCTGCTTATGAGGCTTTAATAAATATATATTTGAAATTGTCTTTTTTTAGATGGAGATGGTGATGGAGATGGAGCAACTGGAAAGAAGAAGAAAAAGAAGAAGAAGAAGAAAGGACGTTAGTGTCTTAAATTAATCTTACTTGACAAATGAGAAGTGGTTATTAACCCGTAGGTTTGAAAGAAGGTTTGAAGTTGCTTATGATTCTTATATAGGTCAGGGACACACTTTTAGGCTTATTAGAGGTAGGATTTAGTGAAACTCGTAACTACTTTGCAAGTACTTTGGTTTAAAAATCTTGGTGGCAATTTTTTTAGCTGATACTCAGCTAAGGGATATTAATAAGTTAGTTGCATTTTTTGCAAGTTTGGAATGAGTTCCTAAAAACTTTATAATTTAAATCCTGAATAATTCAAATAATAAGTCTGTTGGTGATGACTAAAGCACTGTGTGGTAATAGGGTAAGCAAAGTTTGCAGTCCACCTGCCAGCTTTGAAGTTACGGAATTCTTCATGAGTGTTTACAGAGGAAGCTCATTATTTAAAATTAGTGCATATGATGAGATTTTATTTAAAATGTTTATATTGCATTGTTTCAGATTCACTTAAAATATGATCTTACTTGTGTTCTGTTTTTATAAATGGCACAACCAAACATCTTCAGGAACTTAAAACTATTAGGGAGACTAAAGGGGAAGACTTCATAGTACTGAGGAATAAAGGTTAGGTTGAAAATCAGAACAGTTTTAATCTTGGCAGTCCCTTGCACTATTGAGGGCCCCTGAGTTCTGATTATAGCTTTAAAATCTTTCAGGCTAAAATTTTATGAATCAGAATATTGGATGCGTGACTTCCCTTTTTATTTCTGTGTTGAGAGAAACAAAATTATTGTTTAAGAAAGATACTGGTTATGCCATCCATTTCCCTAATATGTCTCCAGGTAGGGATGTTTTCCAAAGAATAAATCTAGAACTAACATAAAATCAGCAGGGAAACAGATTAATGTAGAAAGAGCTTTCTTAAAGTTACAGCTGTCCCTAAGTGAATGGATTAGCTTGGGAGAAAGTGACTGCCTCCAGAAGGGACAGCCTTCTTTTCTTTTTAGGGATCTATCTGCATTGGATTCTTCTGCTCAAAGGATGTCATTCTGTCCCTAGCATAGTCTGAAGTTAATGAACATAGGTTACTTGCATTCCAGGAATCTTCTAAAAATTATGAAGTCATTTCTTCCATTCAAAAATTGTTAAAAATATGCCTGCAAGACATGGTATTACCTGAGAATGGCTTGAGAAAGAATCTGTTTCTCTAAATACTCTAAAATTGTTCCCTAATGATGGTAGATAAGCAGGTAGGAGTGTTAAGGGGCTGCTTTGTATTTGCTTTTGGTAGAATTCTTCCACTGACAGGTGCTCTAGCATGATGTCACCAGCCTTTATTGTGTCTCCTCTGAGGATGCTGTTGAACTTACTGTTCATTATATTTCTTTATGAGCACTTTCAAAAGACATTCTTTTTTTCTGGTCTTAATATCAAAAATAACTGTGCTTTTCTGGAGTAGTTAATTGTGTTTTATCGCAGAAAAATCATGAACTATGCAAATAATCTAGAGGGGTTTTTCGTTTGTTTTAGTTCCTAGAAGGCTTAGAGCCAGATCCTAGGTTTTGTGTTGGCTTTACTGCAGCTTCTGTGTTCTTTCCATGTTTTGATTTTTGCTCTCTAATTTATTTTGAATACCTCTTTGTGTATTTTAGGTATACTTATATGCTATCATAAATCACTTCTGGAATAAGCCAAATAATGTACATGGGTAGTTAACTGTCCTTGTTTTCCTTGTCTATAAAGTGAGAGAATTATAAATAATAGTTAATGATAACTGCAGTACAGATTATTGTAATTGTTCATAGTTGTAGATAATTGAATATAGTACATTGTAATTTTCAAGTGTCATCCAAAATTTCTTCTGGTTCTTCATTTTGTTGATGAGGAAACTGAGGCTTCACACATTAGCCGTTTGTCCAAGTCACAGCTAATCAGTGGTAAAGATTAGACTTCAACTCTGATAGTGTTGATTACGGATTATTTTTTTCTCATCATTTTTTTGATTCCTTTAATTTGTGGATGATATAAAAGGCATCTTTATCACATTTGTAGATGAGACAAAGCTGAGGGTGATGAGATAATGCTTTGGTTCACAAAAATTAATGTTTCAAAAGATCAATGGGCTAACATTAACAGGCTGAAATTTAATAGACATATATAAAGTTAATATAGGGTGATAGGATCCTAAGAATTTGAGTTCTAGTACATTGGTAACAAAAAAGCAAATGCCTTAACTTTTTAATAGTTAAAATAGTTAATAGGGTTTTTAGAATCAGCAGTTATAACCTTAAACTAACTATACCTTGTTTGGACTGTTAATATAAGTCAATTCTAGTACCAACTTGAAAGGAACATTGACAAATTCAAGATTGTAAATATGGGTAAAAGTGTTAAGAACCACATCCCTTAAAGTGATTTCTCACAGAAAGGAAGGATTTCGTAGAAATGAAAAGTAAAATATTCTTAACTACAAAGAATAAATCTAGAATTAACAGATAAAATCAGCAGGGAAACAGATTAATGTCGAAAGAGCTTTCTTAAAGTTACAGCTGTCCCTAAGTGAATGGATTAGCTTGGGAGATAGTGACTGCCTCCATTGTCAGGAGTTTAGTGCCAAATGTCAGGGGTTTAAAGTGGAATTCTTATATTTGAGTGTGAAGCTAAAATAGACGACCTCCAAATAAGATTTTTTTTTAAATTTTAAATTCTAATGTTCTCCCTTAGGAAGAACCTAAAACAATGTTTTTCAAGTTTACTTGCCCATAAAACATTTTTAAACCAGTTGGTGCTCACAATTTTGAGCATTTGGGTTAAAGTAAGAAACCAAAAGAAATGGTTTTATATATAAATGATTTGGCTCAATAAACACATTTTTATTTATATGTGTCCTTTTTTTTTCTTATAAAAATGAGCAAAATATCTGTTAAAGATAAAAAATCGATAACATAAAATCAGCAATAATCAGATAAAACCGTATACTTCAACTTAGTTGGTAAATGCTGCAGGTGTAAATTGAAAGGCACAAAATAACCCATGCAACTTCCTGGCATTACTTGGATACAGCATTTGTTACTAAAAGGCAGTTCTTTATACAATAAGAACTATACAACTAGTTCTTACATGTTTGGGAAAAAATTTGGAAGACAGATTTCCACATGCCTTTTAAAAGCATCTTGAAACACTGGTGTTTTAAAGTATAGTTTGGGAAGTGATGTCCTTAAAATGTATGCCAAGTATTGTTAACTTTTCAAGTATCTGAGAATTTGTGTATTGCTACCTAAAAGTCTTTTAGCACTGGGTATGTATACTCTTAACTTTTATACTTACTGTACTTTTTAACTTGTTTTATTAATACATAATAGCTTTATATTTTTACTTCATTGCTGTAAGATTTCTTATTTTCTTGTTGTGTCTTTGATTTTTATTTATGAAAGTCAGCCTCTATATGCTATTCCATTTCCAATATATTAAATGAAGACAAAAACATTAAAAGTGTGCTTTCTACCAATGTATATACTGTTTAAATACATAATAGAGTCCTGAGGAATTAAATTTTTTTTTAAAGATTTTATTTATTTATTTTTAGAGGGGAGGGAAGGGAGAAAGAGAGGGAGAGAAACACCAGTGTGAGAGGAACATCAACCAGCTGCCTCTTTGCACACGCAGTGTCCTGGTATCGAACCTGCAACCCAGACATATGCTCTGATGGGGAATCGAACCAGCGACGTTTCACTTTGTGGGATGATGCCTAACCAGCTGAGCCACACTGCTCAGAGTGGAATTGAATACTTTTATTCCCAAGCAGTAGTAACTCAGAAAGGAGGTTTTTGACTCAGCTTGGGGTTTTTAACTATAAGGTGACAGCAAGAGATTTGTTAAAATCAGGACAGCCATTGGGAACTGAGAAAAACTGTAATGATTGTTTAATCTTATTTTTAACTATAGAAATTAATGCTTTATTTGTATCTTGCAGCAAAAGTTCAAACAGATCCTCCCTCAGTTCCAATATGTGACTTGTATCCTAATGGTGTATTTCCCAAAGGACAAGAATGCGAGTACCCACCCACGCAAGATGGGTAAGGATCATAAAATAACTTCCCATTTGACTTTTGAAAGTTGTAGCCTAGCAACAAAGTAGACTTGATTTTTCTCCGAACTTGCTCCACTGCCTTAAAAAGTTTGTGAATTTGCTGCAGAGAAAAAACAGTAGAAGCCCTCTTATCCAAAATGATTGGGACCAATAGTTTGGTTAATCAAAAAAGTATGTTAAAATGGGGATCACGAAAAGTAAAAACCTTTATTGATAAAAGTTAACTTAAAATTTTGTTTTTCATCATTTTTGAACATGAATTTGGATTGAACTTCATTTTTTTCCTCATAAACTATATATAATGCCTTGTTTTTGAGCGTGTTCCATTTTGAGTTTCTGTGAAGAACAACTAAGTAATCTAAGGACTAATGCCTACCATATATCTTCACAGTTTTTTCTCTGAACCATTTATAATTCTTCACTTAATTTGACAGAAGTATTTTTTGATGACTTGTCTTTATTGAGATTTTTCTCAATAGTCAATTTAGTTTTCTTAGAAATGATTATTTTTATGTAATATATCATTAAATGATATTATTATAGTAAATACAAGTTTGGGAACAAATCACCTGATTTCTCGGGAAGTGTTCTGGTCAGCAGACACTCATAGTAGCATTATGCGGACTGGTTAAAAGCATGGAACCTGGGCCTAAATTACCTGCGTTTGAATCCCATCTCTAACACTTTGTGACTTGGGCAAGGGATTTATCATGTCTCTTGTTTTGCTTCCTTGTCCATTAAAAAAGGCACTTTATAGGGTTATTGAGGAATAATATATTAAGGCACTTAGAAATGTGGCACATAGTTATCATTAAGTAAGTGTTAGCTGCCATTATTCAGAAAAGGAACCTGTCATCCACTAATATTCACAATACGGTGGGCATTGGTCAGTATGTTTTACAGAGGGAATCAAGAGCATTGGCTTGTTGAATGGTTGCAATTTAAGAAAGCCTCTACTGTAGCATTGTTTCATTTACCTGTAAAGGCATTGTTTTTCCTTAAACTTAGAAAAGAACATGATGTTATATTTCTGCTGCCTTCCTCATTCCCAGTACTCTTAGGGAATCAGTCTGTAAGTTGTGGAATTTTTTGTCATGGGCATTTTTTTCTTTCAATTGAAGTCATCAGTCAGTATCCCTATCTTGAACCATCTATTTTTAAAATGTCACAGACACGTAATTTTATAGTAGTTAAACAACTTTTCATAGTACATATGATATGATCACATTTATTTTTAAATACAATTTTTTAATTTTTTTTTTTTTTTTTTTTTTTTTTTTTTTTTGCTTGTTCCCTCTTCCTTTACTTCCTTCCAGACTCATGTAAGCACCTAGCAGGTAGCTTTCCATATTTTTCTATGCTCATATATATGTAAACTATGTCTGTTTGTGTAAGGAGAATGTTTTGGTCATTGTTTGTTTTATAAAAATGGAATCAGGCATACTTTCCTCCACCTTGCTTTCCTCACTCAGTACTACCTATTGAAAGTTTCTCTAAGTCAGAATAGCTCTGTAATTTTTTCTGAATGGCTTCATAATATCCTGTGGTATGAATATATTTCTTTATTCTACCATAGTAGTCTTAGTTCCTAGTAGTCTTAGATTTTCTCAAACTCTTTATTTTGTGTTTCATTACACTTCTTAAGAATTTTACTTAATTATTTTTGGATAGAGGGGGAGGGAGGGAAAAAGAGAGGGAGAGAAACATCTATGTGTGAGAGATACATTGATCAGTTGCCTCTTTCATGCCCCCCCCCCACCTCTTCCCAAATCAGTGACCTGGCCCACAACCCAGGCATGTGCCCTGACCGGGAATGAACTGATGACCTTTTGCTTTGTGGGATGATGCCCAACCCACTGAGCCACACTGGTCAGGGCTGTGTAGGACTGTGTACATTTTTGGATGGATCATTACATTTTTAATTGATCTGGAATTTTTAATGTAAGGTTGGGAGCACTGATTTTATTTCCAAATGGATAGCTAGTTGTGGTACAATTGTTTATTAATGCATCCTATCCGATTGAACAACTACCTTGCCACATACTATTTTCTCATACAGTGGAACTACATGTTCCTGATTGCAGTTGGGAATCTGCATATGAGGAAGGCGGACTTAAGTTTTACATGTATCTTTGAGTGCTTGGTGGCCGGTCCCCAAACCCCCGTGTTGTTCAGAGGTTGACTATATATTCTCATATCGTATAACAGAACCAGTTTCTGTGTTGTTTATTCTGTTCCTTTGATCTATTTGTCTATTCCTATGCCAATACTATTTTGATTTGGTATCAGAAACTTTATACCATTCTGATAATTTGATAAGGCAGTCTTTAGTCTTTCTCCTCTGCCACACACTCCCAAACACGGTTGGTTTTTTTTTGTACTTTCCTTAGCTATTATTTTCATTCATGTAGTCTTAACACACATACCCACAGAGAAATGCCCTTGTTAGAATTCTCATCAGAATTGTATTAAATTGATGTAATTGTTTCAGAAAAGTGATAGTTAAGTTACATTGTCTTACTTAGTGTTGTGGTACATATTCCCACTTATTCTGATTTTTTTTTTTTAAGGTAGGTCCTGTCCCTTTCCTGTTAAATACATTTTATTTTAATATTTTTAACTATGAAATTCTACATGAGTTGGATTGTCATCCTTGCACAGGGGCCATGCTAATCTTTTCTGTATCATTCCAATTTTAGACTATGTGCTGCTGAAACAAGCACGTTAAATTTATTCTAAAGTGTTTTCTGATATTGTTACTGATGTGAACAACAAATTTTTATTTCTAATGTTTTTGCTAAAGTGGAGGAAAGCTGTTGATTTCCTATAGTTTTAACAGATTGTTAATATTTTTAACACTGTTCTGAATTGGTGGAATGATGAAACATTTGAAGTAATGTTTAATACAAGAAAAACGGATTTTTTTTTTCAATCTTAAGAACCGTCTTTTCCTCATTATTTTCTGTTGCAAATTGAACATTGTATAGGTAGAGTAATTTCTGGTTTTGAAACAATAAAGGAAGATATATTTATATGTTATAGTATCTATTGGATTAATACTTAAATTATTTTTTAAATTTTTATTTATTGCTTTTGAGGGAGAGTGGGGGAGAGGCATTGATTTATTGTTCCACTTCTTTATGCATTCATTGGTTGATTGTATGTGCCTTGATTGGGATTGAACCTGCAACCTTGGAGTATTGAGACGATGCTCTAACTAACTGAGCTACCCAGACAGGATGTTTTCTTAAATATTGAAAGCAATGCAGGATGCTGTCCTAGAGAAATTAAAAGAAATGAACATATTGTTATGTTTGCTTTGTGATAAATCTCAGCATTTTTTGACATTCATACAACCAGTTTTCACTATTTGTAAGTAGATCAAAATAAATATTCTTTTAGATTTGGTAAAATATTAAATATAGTTCTGTATCTTGCCCTCATTGTTTTTTCTTTTTAATAAACTGAAAATTGCATGAATTATCACAAAGAACTCAACATGTGTAACTTAATATACTCAAACATGTTGCGTATATTAAGATTCTCTTTAACATTTTGCTACTTTTATCATTTCCTCTGTAAGTGGAATGTGACAATTATACATATTATGTATAATACACAAATAACATTTCATTTTCGTATTGGAAGATGTAAGGCAAATGTGGAAAATGTTATATTGGTAAATCTGTATACATACTATTTTTTCTGAAGTATTTGAGAATAGATTGTACATTTTCAGATGGAATACGAGATAAATAGGTATTGTGTCCTTTTTAGGGTTGTCACGTCTGGAGGCACATGATGTCATTTTTTAACACTTGGATAAGGTATTATCCAGTTTTTCTAGCGTAACAATACTGTTTTTCCTCTTGTAATTTCTAATTTGTAGGAAATTACCTTGTGAATATGAAAAAACTATTTTTTATGAATGTCCTCACACATAACACCCATTGTATTCTCTGTCTGAATCAGTTTTAACTATGACGGTTGTTGCTGTTTTAAAAAATAAAACATTCTTCCCTGGCCGGTGTGGCTCAGTGGGTTGAGTGCCAGCCTGTGAGCCAAAAGGTCTCTGGTTCACTTCCTAGTCAGGGCACGTGCCTGGGTTGTGGGCCAGATCCCCAGTTGCAACCACACATTGATGTTTCTCTCCCTCCCTTCCCCTCTCTCTAAAAAACAAATAAAATCTTTAAAAAAATAAAACAAAACACTGTATGTGCATTTCTTGTGTTATTAAAAGGTTTTGAAACCAATTTTTAAAGGCTCTAATGCTATGTTGTTGAGCATACTTTTATTAGTTATTTTCCTATTTTTGAATATTTATACTTTCAATATTTTATCATTACAGTAATTTCTGTGATGAACATTGTAGTATGTTAATTGGGTCTGATTTTTCTTTTATTCTGCATCTCTAGAAGTAGAATGAAAACTTACTTTGAAATTCTTAGTATCTGTTTATAAATTTGGTAGACAATTTTTGGGGCAAAATGTTAATTTTACAAGCATACATAGTCACTGTAGAGTAGTTAGTAAATACAGATACTAGCAAAAAGAAGAAAATAAAAACCTCTTAATTCTGTCAATGAATTAAAACCACTGTTAACATGTTAATATTTCTTCCTTTCAAGAGTCTCTGTATAAATGTCTGTTATAAATACCTAGAAATCTTTTTCAAGGTAGAGCTATACTGCAACAGCACACCCTTTTAAAATTAGTTTTCCTGTTAGTAAAGAAGCCAACAGTATTTCTATTGGTGGAATAATTTTGCACATCTGTGTGCATTGCATAATTTATTTGTCCAGTCTTATTAGGACAGAAGTTGTTTACTATCATAAATAAAGTTGGGATATATATCGTTACTTGTTTTCACCTTTTATAGTGAATTCCAAAGGGAAAGGTTGAAAGATAGTTAGCTCACTACCCAGATTGAACAGTGCTTAACATTTTGCCATACATGCTTTATCTTTGTGTGTGCATGTAGTTTTTTGTTATTATTGATTTTTTCCTTTTGGCTGGGCCATTTAAAAATAAGTCTTATTTTGAGTCCTCATTTCTACAAACTTTAAGTATCTCCCTAGAATTAGACTTTCTCTAAATTATCACAACTAAGCATATTAACAGTAATTTCCCAATATCATGTAAATGCCTAGTACATATTTCAAATTTTTTCCTGTTGTCCCTGGAACATCTTTTGAGTTATTTTTTCCCACTAAACCGGGATCCAGTCAAGGTTCATGCATTGCATGTGGTTAGAATCCCCTTCTTCTCTTCCATTGCACTGATTTTTTGAAGAGACCAGGTAATTTTTAAAATCTCATCTTCTGGGATTTCTCCAATTGTTTTGTCCTTAAACTTTTTTCTTTATTTCTGTATTTTCTGTAAACTGGAATTAGTTATAAAGGCTAAGATTAGAATTAGATTAAACATACTTAACAAGGATATAAGTGTTATTAAGTACTTCATGTTATATCATAATCTGTTACATCAGATATAATTTCAGATTGTTTATTAAGTTTACCTGTATTTGATCACTAGGTTAATGTGACGACCACCAGCTCTGGTTTGTTTTTTTTTTTTAAGTACTTTTTTTCTTTTTGTAATTACCATGCAATATGTGGGGTACTTCGGTTACCATTAGAATATCCTTGTCTTCAACAGCCTTTCACTTAACTATTTTAATATTCATTGATGATCTTTGCTTTGTCAGTTATTTTATTGGGGATCACAATACAGTGAATTTCTAATTCTGTCATTCCTTTCGTAAGTTCCAGTTTTCAGAGTAAGAAATTGGTGTCATATCTACAAGCATTCTTAATTATTTTGGGGTTAAAGACATGCATTTAAAAATAGTTTTTACAAATGTGGCATATAGTGCTTTAAAATATTGTACATACAAATATAATTATCTTTTAAATTGTACAGTGAGTTTAGAAATGTTTATGACTGTTTGAAATTAATAATCAGATACCTTTGTTTGTATCATTTGGTTTTACTTATATTTTTCTGCTCTTAATACATCCATTGGTAAAAAGGATGGGATATTGAAAAGACTCCAAAATACCAAGAGGTGTGAAGAATTTACATACTTCCTATACACTTCCTATAAAGAGTCTTTTCCAAGCAGTTGTTTTGACAGTTGTTTTTTGGACATATTTTAAAAGCACTTCTAACCTTCCCCTCTCAGTTGGATGAATTGATTGTCTTTTGGAATAATTGTTAGAAGCTCAGAATATATTTTCATCTTATTAAATACTATATTTTTGTTAAATAGAGTGAACATCAAAAGATCAAATTAAGAAAATGGAGAGACTCCATATTATTCATTGTCTTTCATTGGGCCTAGAATTCTGATTATAGGCTTCTGGTATTATAATTATAGTAGGTTTTTCAAATATTGCTAATGACTTTCAGTTTGAACTCAAGACTTAGCAGAAGAATGTCTTTAATCCAATTTCTGATTGATAGTTCTTTACCAACAATGCAGAACATTGCATAATATTTTGTAGGATCCACTGCTTTTAAGAGTAAACCTTAAGAAATAAGATATTCATATCATATCTGCTGGTTTCAGTAGCAGGGATCTTTACTGTGTCATGTTCTGATTCTAAAAATATTTTCAAACAGCATTTGAAATTAATTATACTTAAAGAAGTGGATTTGAAAAATCTGAGGTTTGGATTGACATCTGTCAGTTCCCTGTGGACCATCTTTCATCTTGCCATTCTAGAGTAAATATTGGCTGATATTTTTACATTTCACAAAATCTTTGGCTTCTGAGGCAGGGTTGCATTGGCCTTTACTGCCAGCTATGGCTATAGTGTATTTGCCAGAATTACCGTACATGTAAAAGATGAAGTGTTGTGATGTATTTTGTTTAAAAACTGATCTGAGAATATAGCCAGTACTCTTATTCTCACAAAGTAGGGTTCTAGGTTCCCAGGAAAGATTTTTGTGTTCATGGAAGAAAAAACGGCTGGAGTTAAAAACTAGAGGTCTGAAAATCCATGGAGTGATTGACTCTAAGTGGCTGGAAGAAGTTGAGCCTACCTTCAGAATATACATTCTAAGGACCTTATGCTATTACCTTCTAGTCTGAGAGCGTATGTGTGACTACTTTGATTAGAAGTTGCATCTTGAGTTTTCGCTATTTCTATAAGAGTAATTTATAGGCACCTGAATACTTATGGAATTTAAAACTGACCTTAAATTAATGGTACTGTACTATTTCAGTCATCTGATAACATCAGTTGATAAATCCAGAAGACATTCCCAAGCAGAAAACAGGCCAGAGAAGCCTCTCTGATGCTTTAGTTCACACAGGACAGCTCCTTTGGGCCTTTGTAGCAAATTAGAAGTGCTAGAGGTTGGCACATAGGTAGCTGCTGCAGTAGGAAGTAGTCATAATGAGCTTGATAGTAAGATACAGAGGAACTCAGAAAGCATTTTGGGACCTTAAAAAATATAATTCTGTAGTTTGGATCAGTTGGGTAAACTCCTATAAAGGGCTATATAGTAAATATTTCAGTCCTTGACTGCCATTCACTTCTGCTCCTGTAGCAATAAAGAAACTATACATAGTATATAAATGAATGGGCATAACTGTGTTGCAATTGAATTTTATTTACCAACAGGTGCCAGGCTGGATTTGCCTGCAGGCCATAGTTTGCCAGGCACTAGTTTTGAAGCCATTGGAGTAATTCCTTGAAGGCATCATTTTTACACTAAGTATAATTAATATACCTCAGTGATCACTGAGTTGTGAACTATATATTCTTTATATCTTAAGAATGTATGAAAATAACAACTTTTTTTTAATCCTCACCTGGGGATATATGTATTGATTTTTTTTTTTTTAGAGAGAGAGAGAAACACTAATGTGAGAAAGAAACATCGATTGGTTGCCTTCTGTACTCTCCCTAACCAGGGATCAAACCCACAACCTAGGTATGTGCCCTGACTGGGACTCAAACCCGCAACCTTTTGGTGTACGGGATGATGCTCCAACCAACTGAGCCACTGGCCGGGGCTATAACAACTTTGTTAAAAAATTTTTATTTGGAAACAGCTGTTGTTTTCAAAATGTACTGCTTAAATGGAATTAGTGGATCTCCATTTCCAGATACTGAAAATAAAAATCTTTTTGTTACTCCTAATAGTTTTCAAATGTGAGCCATGTCCTTCAAGGAAGATTACCTCTTATATATACAATTAGAAAACTCCTGCAAAAGCCATAATATTTTATGTACTGAGGAAGGTATATGTAGATTTCTGGGTCAAGTCCTTATATTATTACTTGCCCTATTGGTTATGTTAAATTCTAATTTTTGGTGTGCTCTTTTGAAGTCTCTTAAAGTATATGAGTATATTCCCTCAAGTGGAAGGATGACTTTTTCTCCCACATGCCTGGTATCTAATACTTTTTTCTGGCTTTCCTGGTTCTCATTTTGTGTTATTTTCTGTGGCACGGTATTAGTCCCTCTGACTATGAATGAACTCACTTGAAGAATTTTTTTTAAGATTCTAGGAAAATATGGTGATTTGGATTGATTGCAAGTGTTTCACTACTTGTATTTAGAAGTTACACTAACATTTAATGGAAGAAACGAAGTATAATATTTTTATCTAGAATGTATATTAGTATATTTTTATCTCTCAGCTTTTATGCTTATGCTGTTTCTTAAATAACTAATACTGTGCTCTGCATATTACAAAGGCGAACAGCTGCTTGGAGAACTACAAGTGAAGAAAAGAAAGCATTAGATCAAGCTAGTGAAGAGATTTGGAATGATTTTCGAGAAGCTGCAGAAGCACATCGACAAGTTAGAAAATATGTTATGAGCTGGATCAAGCCTGGGATGACAATGATAGAAATCTGGTAAAAGAAATAAGTTTTTCTAAGAACATGAAAAAAAAAATTTGTTTTTAGAGCTGACTTTACCGTTGTAATGTTTGGCTTTCATTACTACCTTACTAAAACTTTAAAGGAAGAGTCTAGAAATACCTTCTAACTTGTAATGCTTATGTAATGGGGAAACCATTAGAGGACATTTGTACTTCATCCTATTTTGTACTCATGTACACTCAAATGTGCAAATGCACACATTATTCTTACTCTCTATTCTCAAATCTGTTATTTGCTATCTAGTAGTTCATATTCTATTAAAATTCTTGGACACAAACATTTATAATGCAGTGAAGAAAGCAGTAAAAGTAAGTGTTTCTCCAGTTCTCCCCTTGAGAAATGATTAGCAGTAAAAGGTAACCTAATTCTCTAATTCAGATTTCAAAATATGCAATATTAAGGAAGTAAAATGTAATCAGCATTTTAAATTAGTCCAAGTCAAGAATGTCACTTCCTAGAAAACTAAGCCAATATCATTTCACTTCTCTAGATTTCTAGTGGAATTAAATGCTTTATCTTTTAGAGACGAGTTATTTTCATAGCTTCAGAGAAATGTTAATCACATTCAGAAAGTCCTCAGATCACTCCCAGAAAATAGTTTAAGAGTTTTGGCTAACTTTCTGAACATGATGAGCTGTAAGATATATAAGGCTATACATTATATAAAATGTAAAAGTAAACAAATTCTGTTCTTATTTTTTTAGTGAAAAGTTGGAAGACTGTTCACGAAAGCTAATAAAAGAGAATGGATTAAATGCAGGCCTGGCCTTTCCTACTGGGTGTTCTCTCAATAACTGTGCTGCCCATTATACTCCCAATGCGGGTGACACGACAGTATTACAGTATGATGACATCTGTAAGATAGACTTTGGAACACATATAAGTGGTGAGTTCTTGGAAATAATTTTCACCCCACTCTCTTTCTAAAAAACTAGCCTTGTCTCTGTTGGGTGGGGCTATAGCAATGGAACTCCCAAATTTTCTTCTGAATGCCTCACTTTTTAGTAGAGCTGTCCTGAGGCAAATTTTGAGGTTTGCTTTAAAGCCTCCTATTAAATGGAGTATAATGAAAACCATCAGGTAATTGAAGTTTATTCTTTGTATCAGGGCGTGAAAAATTTAATCCTTTATTTTCTTAGGTCATTATTTCAGACATCATTTATTAATTTAATAACAAATGTTTACTTAGAGCCTCTAAGTTTACCAACCTTTATGTACTTGTTAGCTTTTCTAAATCCAACCCCCAACCCCCCAAATCCCTGTTAGGTAAGTACCTTTTTATCCCACTTAACAGATGGGAAAGCAAAGCTTAGGTTAAGTCTTACCTGAGCTTTTTACTAAACTGAAGCTGGACTGATGGTCAGTATCCTGTGACCTACACATATTCTTTGCCTGCATCGCTGTTTCCTAGGTTCCCTAGGCTTTTCCCACTTTGATTCGTTTCTGTTTGTATTTTTGCACACCTGCCTTGATGAATACTGAATTAGTGCTGTCTTGAAGTAATGGATACTACCCCTGGCTAAAACTTTTATATTTATTATACTTTTTCCACCTTTAGCTATGAATGCTGTCTGGGTACTTGGAGTGCTGCTTTCATTTAAGCCCATCACTTTATTTTCTTGTTAATTAGCAAGGATAATCAATAGAGTAGTTGCTGTAAAGTGGATAAATTGATCAATAAATTTAAAGAAGAATTTTTTTTTCAGGTAGGATTATTGACTGTGCTTTCACTGTCACTTTTAATCCCAAATATGATACATTATTAAAAGCTGTAAAAGATGCCACTAACACTGGAATAAAGGTATGTGAAATACGAATGCCATTTCATTCAGCCTATTGTGAACACATTATAAGCTGTTTACAGTCTTTCAGTTATGTAAAACTAGTCCACTGCCCTTGGGGTTTTAAGTGGATAGTTATACTGACTAAAGATGCTTATAGAGGGAGTTATAATGTACAAATCTGTTTTTCTGACTGTCCCTTATTTTAAAATATTAAGTTAGCTTGCTGTAAACTTCTGCACTTTGAATAACAGTATACATTATTATATCCTTAGTGTGCTGGAATCGATGTCCGTCTATGTGATGTTGGTGAGGCCATCCAAGAAGTTATGGAATCCTATGAGGTTGAAATAGATGGCAAGACATATCAAGGTGTGTTCTTTAAAAACATATCTTACTTGAACCATGTGCGACCTTTGCAGAATTAATTTTTTACAAAGAGTGTTGAGTGCTTTCTTTGGGTCACCTGCTTTATCTTTATATCTTGGGAATATAAAGAGGGAAAATGGGGAAATGACGTATTCATGGTAGGAGGAGTATGTATGTGGTCACTAGCTGAGAACTGTTGCCAAACTTCTCTGGTAGCGAATAAGAAGAGACCGGGGGATTTGTCCCAGGGTGGCCAAAGTGCAGACTAGGTTTTCTGGGACTAGTCAAATCAAGGCCCAGAGAGACACCAGAGGTTCTTTCTGTTGATGACTCCCAATATTTTTGAAGTTGAACACAAAATTTAGAGGCAGGTTTATTCCTTGTTTGTCCTTCCTTTAATCTTTATTCCTTTTGCCTCCTCTTTCCCAGCGATTGCCTTTAGGTACACAGTCCCAGAGTCACCTGTGCTTTCTAGTGTTCTTCATCAGTACAGCCGTCCTGTGACTCCCAGCATCTATTTGACCACTCTTCAGCCACCATCCTCCTGCCTAATCTGTGCTCATTGCTCCCTCTAACCCCTGTCATCATAACTTTCTTACAGAATATTTTCTATATTTCCTTTAACCAAACCCTCTCCTTCGTAGTCCTTTGAGTGGCATCTGTCATGCTTCCTTGCCCTTCAGTAAATTCATATCATTGAGCATTCTGTACATTACCCTGTTGATAATTATAAACTATTGTGTTTCTATCAAGGGCAAAAGTGGTTCTTTCTCTGAGTCCAATCAAAAACACATTTAAATAAAGATTTTCTTAAAAAAAGTTTTTATACAAAAATACATTTAAATAAAATAGCCAACCTAATGTATAACCAAGTTATTTTGAAGAAGCAGGGCACAGGGATATCCATTTTCATATTATACAGGTTTTTGATAGCAGCAGGCTAATTCTGGGACCAATATCTGTAAAGGTAACTTTCCAGATGAGAAATGTCTCGTAGATTTCTAATCCTGTGTACCTTGGTACAAATCAAAAGACTTAAAGCTGTTCCCATTTGAATGGGAGGTGCTGTGAGATAATGAAGAAAACATGCTTTGGCTTTGCGGTCAGGCAGGATTAGAGTTTAGATTAATCTTACAATCTCTTAAGAACCCAAGGTGTTTAGTGTGTGTGTGTGTGTGTGTGTGTGTGTACTGTAATAAGATTAATAATGATTTTTGATTTGTTTTGTTTAGAAATGCAAATTTTATGATAGTGCCTGAGATTTATTAGTATTCAACAATTATTTGTCCTTTCCCATCCTAATTTTGGGATTGGTGCCACGACAAATAATGCACAATCACATCCCTCTTAGATCATCTTTTCTATTCTCCCTTAATTCTGTGTGATCTGCTTTTCGAGGTATATGAAGTGACAGTTTGATTTAATGGTTCTGTTATTTCAGTACCCGTTCTTTGATATCAGTTATTGTATTGATTAGAATTCTTAGTTTAAGGTGATAGAATTCATTTTTACTAGTTGGAGCAGAAAGAGGATAGACAAATCATTACATTGGGAGCATCACATGTAGGCCGAACTTTCAGAAGTGGTTCCCAAAAACCACATGACAGCTGGGCTGTCAAGGGAGGGATTTTTTTATTTACCTAGAGCAGGCAGATAATAGACTTGGAAAGTTACCTTTACAACTGTTGGTCTTAGAATTAGCTCACCACTGTCAAAACCTGTGTGATAATAAAAATAGATACATAGATACCCTGTGTCCTGCTTCTTTTGTGTAACTTGGTTTTATGTTAGGTTGTTTCTTTTTTTAATTTAAATGTATTTTTGTGTGAATTTTTTTTTTTTTTTAAGAAAAACTTTTTTTTAATTTAAATATGTTTTTGAGCCCTGGCTGGTGTGGTTTAGTGGATTGAGTTCTCGCCTGTGAACCAAAAGGTTGGTTTGTTTCCCAGTCAGGGCACATGCCTGAGTTGTGGGCCAGGTCCCCTGATAGGGGCATATGTTTCTTTCCCTCTCTTTCTTCCTCCCTTTCCTTCTTTCTAAAAATAAATATATATCTCTTTAAAAACTGTGGTTTTGATTGGCCTGAGGGGTCACTTTGTCAGGTCCTAGAGAAATAGTAATGCTGACTGAATTTTAAATAGATTTAGTTTATCAAGTGTGTATAGGAAGAAAGATTTTTTTTTTTTGAAGAGCTAATTGAGTGTTTTATCTTTCTATACCACCCCCTAAATTTGTAATATATTTGTCATTGTTGTATTATTACAGATTTGAAAAAACCTTGCTACCTCTTTTTGCCCTAGAAGGAAAAATAGCTTGTACTGAGGATTTCTAGCACAGTAGAGCTAGATTTTTTAAAACCTTTTTTATTGTGGAGTATAATAAACACTGAAAATACAATATAAAACTTCAACTATACAATTATAAAAGTTATGTAACCTCACCTCTCAAGAAAGTGTTGCCAGCATTCCAGAAGCCCTAATTCTGAATTGTCCTTCTCAGTTACAGCAGCCTTCCTCTGATAAACCACTGTCTTGAATACTAAAATATTTACATTTGCTTTCTTTATACTGTTTACCATCTAATTACATAATCCCTAAACAGTAATATAATTATACCTAATGTTGAAATATAAATGTACCCATGTACATACGTATTTCCTGTTATATATGGGATTGCACAGTATGTATGGCATTGTGCCTCTTTTTTCTCATTTTTTATTTAGGTTTTATTCAGTTGCTCATTGTCCCTTTTCATTTTTACTGTTGAGCAGTGTTCCATTGTGTGAATATACCACAATTTGTTTATTCTATCATTGATCTCAGGACCTTAGGATTGTTTAGATTTTCTTTTTTAATATTTGAAATGTTATAAAATTTAAGGTTTTATAATCCTATCACTTTCTATATTTTTAGTCCATAACCATAAAAATACACAATTTTCATGTTTGTAATCATTGTGTCCATGGCATTTTATGATATTTTTATTGATAACAGTACTTCTTTAGATGAACCCCTGTTGTGTCCTCATCACATAGTTTATTGTTTTGGGGTGTTTTTTTTAAGATTTTATTTATTTATATTTAGAGGAGAGGGAGAGAAACATCGATAGGTTGCCTGGCATGGGCCCCAACCGGGACTGGACCTGGAACCCAGGCATGTGCCCTGATGGATAATCAATCAAACTGGGGACCTTTTGCTTTTCCGGATGATGCTCATCCAGCTGAGCCACACTAGTCAGGGCCACATAGTTTATTCTTTTTCCATCATCTCGCCTTACTCCCTTCTGGTTTTTAATTAATAACATTATAATAAACATCTTTTTATATTACATTAGTTTTCAGTTTGAGTTTTAACTACCTTACCTTGAGGTTATTTAGTAGAGCCATATCTTGTTTTTAAATAAATGCTTGAACTTTATACCTAAAGGTCAAGAGATCTGTTTGTGTTTCCTAAGACCCTGCATAACTGTTTTTTTCCTTTTATATCAGTGAAACCAATCCGTAATCTAAATGGACATTCAATTGGGCCGTATAGAATACATGCTGGGAAAACAGTGCCAATTGTGAAAGGAGGAGAGGCAACAAGAATGGAGGTGTGTATGTTTTTTGTGAAGCATTTTTGATTTTTTTCTTTTCCCAAGCAAAAGCTAGTGGTGGTTGAGGGCATAGTATGTTGAGCAAAATTAACTGGCCCTCTATACTTGACAGGGATTGGGCCGTGTGACTATGCAAATTTTGTCTAGTCAGATCAGGGCTCAAATCAGATGTGGAAATTGGGCATATCAAAGGATTGTTTATTCAACACTTAATGAATATTTACCGACCATCATGGATGTGCCAGTCTCTTCAGTAGGCGCTAAGGATATAGTAGTGAACAAAACAAAATTCCCTGCCAATGTTAAAGCCTACCTTCTAATAGGAGGACACAGAAAGACCAAAAAGTGCTGAGGAGGTAAAAAGCAGGGAAAGGACTGCCAGGGATATTTCATGTAGTTTCTTACATGAAGTGGTGAATACTTCAACCTGAAGTTAAGATATGGTCATTTTGATTACTTATGAATGTTTGTCTCCCTACTCTAATATATATTTTTTAGGAAGGAGAAGTGTATGCCATTGAAACCTTTGGTAGCACAGGAAAAGGCGTTGTTCATGATGATATGGAATGTTCACATTACATGAAAAATTTTGATGTTGGACACGTGCCAATAAGGTGAGACTGACTTCTATATGACTAGCGAGTTTCTCTTTCTAGTTACCAGTATTTTTAAAAATGTGACAGATAACCACAGTGGTTAATACACAGTTCTATAGTCTAACAATAAGTTCTGTGGATTTCTGTAATACAGCAAAGAAATTGGCCTGTTAAATATTTTAACTGAGGCCTAACCAGTGTGGCTCAGTGGGTTAGGTATCATCCTGCAGAGTGAAGGGTTGCTGCTTCAGTTCCCAGCCAGGGCACAAATAAAATCTCTTAGAAAAATGTTTTTAACTGAAATGAAAATGGTATAGTTTCTTTGGGTCCAGTTTTTAATAATTGTAATAATTTCAGAGATTATCATTTTGTGGTATTTCTAGATTTTTGTTCTTATATTTGATAAACTTTATTTACTTTTTAAAAATTATTTTGGGGTAGGTGGTTAAAGGCTATATTTACATCAATTTAATATGCAGGTCTTTCATCTTGATTCACAAAAGAGGAAATTCCCACCATAATAATTTAGGCTCTATCAACAATATGCAATTTCACATGGATGGACACAAACATGTTAAGATAGTCTTCAGCTGGCTTCTTACTCGGTTCCATCTATAATTAGATATGGGCTGTTACACATTCTGGCTTTCGAGTGTTGAAACAGGCAACAAAGTTTTTTTTCACTTTAATTACTTAAAGTCACAGCTACTGTTTGAGTTTTTCCTTAATGGGGGAAGTGAATTTAGGTAATATTTTAGCTAACTCAATCTTGGATTTTCTCCTCTTAGGCTTCCAAGAACGAAACACTTGTTAAATGTCATCAATGAAAACTTTGGTACCCTTGCCTTCTGTCGGAGATGGCTGGATCGCTTGGGAGAAAGTAAATACTTGATGGCTCTGAAGAATCTGTGTGACTTGGGCATTGTAGATCCATATCCACCATTATGTGACATTAAAGGATCATATACAGCACAGTTTGAACATACCATACTGTTGCGTCCAACATGTAAAGAAGTTGTCAGCAGAGGAGATGACTATTAAACTTAGCCCAAAGCCACCATAACATCTTTTATTTTATAAGCTTTGTTGGAATACGTTATACCAGAATTAATTCTGCCATATGTCTGTTTAACAAGTGGACCGATGTAATACTTTCATTCATGTTTAAAAAGGAAGGAATTTGATCAAAGGCAAACCATCTAATGTAATTAACCACCAAAAAGCTTTCAGGACTCAAATGTTAACTGTTTTTCTCCTGTCTAGAAAATACTATAAAGTTCAAATTAGGAATGACTTAAACATTTTGTTTTGAACACCTAAGAGATGCTTTTCAAATATTTATATTGCCATATTCTTATTTGAATGCTTTGAATGACTACATCCAATTCTGCACCTATACCTTCTGGTATTGCTTTTTAACCTTCCTGGAATCCATTTTCTAAAAAATAAAGACATTTTCAGATCTGAGAGCTATATTTCAATGTCTGTGATTATAATTTTGCACAGGAAATAGCACCATAATGTAGTGAAATGCAGAGCCTTTTATCTGGTTGCAGACCTCTACGCTGAAACTTTTTTTCTGACAGAGTGGCCAAATAATATCCATACATATATAAAGTGGGAAGAGGGCTTCATAAATTAATATACAGCTTTAGGAATATTTTGGGGTTTTTTTAGGACCATATTAGTCCTTTAGTTTTTCCCTGACATTGGAAAGGTCTATTTGAAATATGACTTAATAGGAACATTGTACCAACTTGAAACCTTGATTTAGTAAAATCTCAACATTTAGATCATTTGTGCAGTGGTATATTTATCAAGAAATGTATTCAGCTTTCTCAGTAAACCAAACAGGCATTTAAAATCACAAAATAGGAAAACTTCCCATGATTGAGTCTTGTCCTAGTTTGACAAGTTAAATTGAATTATTAGGCTTTTCATTAGCTGCCCCTTGATTGGTTTGGATTCATGACATTATGGGTGATATTTCAGGAAGTGAGGTTACAGTGACTCACTATAGCAGCTAAATGCATAAGATAAGTTGAATGTAAAATGCATAATACTTGAACTGAGTCCCACTACCAATTCTTAAACAGATTGCTTGAATTCTATGTAAATGACTTTGGGGGGATGTTCCAACATAATTTCAAAAGTTATGTACCAAGGTAAAACCGTAATTTGTATGTTTAGCACGGTAACATTTATTGCCTCTGGGATGCTGTTTGTATTTTCATGTTTTTCTCATTGGAAGAGAAACCTGACTTCTGTACTTAGATCATTTGTTATACATTAAAAAGTGGCTTTCAAAATTGGAAATATAAGTGAATGTTATCTTCTGGGGTAAGCACTCTAGTTTAGCTATATGAGCCTTGTTCACTTACGGTGCTAATGTTAAATAACTACCTTGAAATAAGTTCCCTATTTTCTGTGCGTGCTAATGGCAGAGCTCACCAGTAGCATTCCTGGACACACAGGGCTTGGGCCCTTCAGCTAGCTCTTTTGTAGTTTTGAGTTCATACCATTTTGTTGTGCTTTGGTTTAATAAAGTTATCTTGATTTCCAAGCCAGTAATTTCAAAATTGACCCTGTGAGTGAAGAATTGTGGAGTTTTGTAAGACTTTTTTAGCAGTAGTGATCTCAAACCATTTATGAGATTCAAGCTCCCTTCCCAGGTAACTGTTGGGAGCAATGTCATCACTTGTATGCCCCTGAAACGGTGGAAGGGATATGATCTTGTAAATAGGAAAGCTGCCACTTAAAAAAAATTGTATTGTTTATCTACTGGCCATGTATCTTTTGAAATCATTTTGTCATGTTTATAATGATGTACCTTATGGTAACCAATTATTAGTTCGAATGTTTAATGATAGTGCCTTTAGTAAATTATTTTATAACCAAAACACGTTGTTTCTTGGTAGATCAATTTAGCAGAATGTGAAAGTCCACATTGAGATGTACAGTAAGAAATCTAAGTTTCTGTGCATTGTCTAGGTTTTAGTTTTATTTTAATAGGCTTTGCTTGTTTAGATCTGATTTAGGTTAGTAGCAAAATTGAGCAAGTGCTACCACATACTCCCTTGACCTCACACACATAGCCTCCTACATAGGTTTTAGTTTTAAGGGATTAAAAAGGGCTAAGCCACTTTCTTTCTCATCATATATTACATTGAATTAAGTAAGTACTGAAACAAGCAACTATGCTATTATAAATAACATAGCTTCCAGAGTTTCTAAAAAATCCCACTAAAATTAGGTACTAAAAGTTGTTAAAATGTATAGCAGTTAACCTAGGTATAAAATTATCTTGAGATTTAAAAAGACTATACTTGGGTATCTTGACCACATCTTTAATGAAATATAATTACCTTAACAGGTAACAACTTGCATAGATATTTAATGAATGATTTTAAACCGTAGCCATTTAACACTCAAGTTGTATTTTTGGCAATATGATTTGTCTGTAGAGTGATAAATTCTCATTGCACTTCACAGTTGGCTGCCCCAGATGACTTGCTTTCTGAAATTTAAGAAAAATTTGCTAATAGAGACCCTTATCAAGCTTATACTTGTAGATGATCACTAATGGAGAACAGCATTTTAGCAGGATATTTCATTAAGATTTCAACCTGCAAGAAAACTCACTAAAGTAAAAATGATCTAGTTGTTTACACTGACCTAAGATCTGATATAGTGGATCAACATCTGTTAGTGGATTCTCCTCTTTCTGAACTAAAGTTAGCAGCAGCAAGATTTTAAAGAGATCTAGTAAGATCATTACAGAAGAACAAAGAGTCATACTATAATAAAATGCAGAATTAGATAATTTTTTTAATGTCAGGGCCCATGATTAGCTAAGAGGTTCCTAGTATTCACATAATCCTAGCTAGAATGAGTAATCAGGCTTAGTTATTTAGAAAAATGAGATGCATATTGTTTAGCTGCCAATTTAAAAAAAAATATCCCAAGGATGTATTTAATTGCAGAGGAAGGATGAAGAAACATTGATGTGCGAGAGAAACAGTTGGTGCCTCCTGTATGCGCCCCAACTGGGGATCGAACTCAAAACCTAGGTATGTGCCCTGACCAGGGATTGAATCCCCAACCTTTCGGTGTACAGGATGATGCCCCAACCAATCAACTGAGCAATCTGACCAGGGTTCATCTGCCAATTTTGAAGTTATCTTCTCTGCCCTGTAATTTCTTTGCTTCAAGACATTTTTATTCCGTAAAGGATCTCACAATATATGGTACAGAGGTGTAAAAGATGTAATGTTTAGGCAAAACAGCTCAGATCCAGGTTAAATTGTGTAATACACTGGTAAATTCAGATTTTTGATATGAATATTTTATTAGAATCAGGACAAACCAATTTGCTGCCAGACAAGTCATTATACATCCAAACCATCATTGTTTTCATGTCCATAGTACTGAAGTCATTTAACATATTAATATTGTATAGTTTGACTATGCCAAATGAAGAACAATTATTAAAAATGAATTTTTGGAAAAAAAAATGAACTTCATTAACAACGTCTTCTGAGCCCAGTAACACAAAGCCTCAGAAATATCAATGAATGTGATTGATGAGTATTTAGATGATGCCTTGATATTTCTCTTTGAAAGTGGTAGTTTAACTTCCTTCAAGGGGCAAAGGTAGCTTCAATATACAAATGGCCTGAAAGAAATGACTTTTGGGGGATAAGATTTTAGTAAAGGAAATGTGTAATTTTCCATCGAATAAAAATTTGTATAGAAAATAGATGCAAAAGATAAACGTATAAAATGCCACCTGAACTTTCAGTATAAGATTGCACAAATTCATGATTTGAGCCAATTAAAACTAAATATAAAAGAACACCAGTCTGAGGTAAACACTAAAAACTTAAAACTCCCAAGTACTTGAAAAAAGTTGTTACCTGATGTCATTGGTATACATGTGTTTATGCTTTCTCTCTGTAAAAAGGCATAGTTAGAAAATGTATAAACATAGTATGTACTGATTAAGTAAAAAAATAAAAATGAGGTTCAAAATTGTAAGTCAGCCTTGTGAGAAAATACATGTATAAATCGCAAGAAGCTCCACTGTCTTTGGATTAACTAGGCATTTCATTAGAGGTCTCAGCTTCTTCAGTAGGAGGTAGGATACCAGACAGGAGTTCTGGAGACAAGAGTTTAGCATGTCCATTCTCAGTAACTTGCTGGGTATAAAACAAGATATAAGCTTGGGCTTTGCATACTTCATCCATAGTGCACATGCTTAGCTTGGAATCATTGCAGTGTACCCAGAACCCTAGAGTGAAGCACAGAAATATACCTTAACGTTTATAAAGGAACATTAGAAATTTCTAGTGTAAATTAAAATACAGATTTAGAAGCATCAGTTTCAGTGAGAGTTAACTTTTTAAATTTATTTTTCAATTATAGTTGACATACAATATTAGTTGCAGGTGTACAACACAGTTATTAGACATTTATATACCTTACAGAGTGATAGCCTGGTAAGTCTAGGACCCATCTGGCACCATATACAGTAATTACAATATTATTCACTATATTCCCTATGCTGTACTTTACATCCCTGTGACTATTCATAACTGGCAACTTGTACTTCATAATCTCTGTCTTTTTTCATTCCCCGCCCTGAAACCCCATTCTATGTGGGAGACAGTGATTTGTTCTTTGTATCTGAATTTGTTTTGTCTGTTCCTTTTTTTACATCCCATAGATATAGGTGTAAGTAAAATCTTATGGTACTTGTCTGTCTTTGACTTACTTCACCTAGCATAGCACTGTCTAGGTCTGTCCATTTTGTTGCAAATGGCAAGCTTTCATTCTTTTTTATGGCTGTGTAATATTCCATTGTATTTATGTACATCTTTACCCTTTCATCTATCAATGGACACTTAGATTGAGTTGAGCTATTTTTGAAGAGAAAGTGATTGTCTGGCCAATTCATTTAATAGGAAATACAGCCTAGGCAGTATTTACTCCAGAATTACCTGCCTTCACCCTAGAAGTAACTTAAAGTTTCTGATGTGTTTATTTGACATGATCTTTAATTCCTGGTATAATCTTACCAGTTAATGTTTTTTTTGCTTGTCATACTATAAAGCAAATAGTATGCAACTTACTCCTCTTTTCCTTTTTATATGTGTGTGTTGGGGGAGACAAACAGACATGGGGAGGTGGGGTTCATTCTTTGTTTAACAGTAGGTAGGGAAAGGGGAAATAAAAATGTGAAATCTAAATTCATTCCCTTTTGACCAGTAAAGTCAAATGAGTTTTATAACCTGAACTCAAAGTTGGTTCCAAATGCCTGTGACCCCTGAGCTTATTACATGCTTTGTTCTTTAACAAAAATAAATGCATTAAACCAGTAAGCAGAGGGCCTGCTCTTAGAAATGTTTTTAAGAAAAGATAGTACACTCTTTGACACATAATTAATGAGACCATCTTTATTATCCTATCCCTACAGCCCTTAGAAGTCAAAACTACTTCAGTTCCACAGAAAATACCCCATTTTCTGCACAGACTTTCGGTTATTTTCTATAAGCAATAATGCAGACGCATTCATCCTGAAAGAAACCAAGAGATCAAGTGGCTTTGCTTATGATGATTTAGTGGTGAATTTAGAAATCACTAGAGCCTAAACTCCAGCTGCCAAGTCTAACCCAAGACAAAATACTTTTCCCCATCTATACCTCCTTCAGAATTATAGCAGTAGGCAGTGTAGTGTCCTGAGCCAAATTCTTTCCCATGGTGCATTACTACAGCAGATAAGTCATAGATAAAACATTCTGGTCTGAGGGACTGCATGGACTCCCTGCAGCAGTAGGGCTCCATGTTTAAGATTTCTTTAAAGTCAACATGAACACCAATCTTCTCCCGGTTATTACGTCCTGACCATCTGTGAACAAACCAGGGTAAAACCATTAACAAAATCAAGGGAAATAACCAGGTACTAGGTTCAAATAGTTAAAAAAAAGAAAAGCCTCTGTGCGATACAAAGACTAACATATAGTAAATAACATAAACAAAATCTTTTCAATGCTGAAGTTGGTTATAAATGAGAGAATCCAGCTTTGACCAGGTAGCTCCGCTGATTAGAGCATCGTCCTGATAGGCCAAGGTTGAGGGTTAGATCCCCAGTCAGGGCACATACAAGAAACAACCAATGAATGTATGAATGGTCCTCTCTCCCTCTCTCTCTCTCTCAAATCAATAAATAAAAGAAATATATATATATATATATATAAATTTATATATATACATATGTGTGTGTATGCTTACTTACTAAACAGATCCAATTAGGTTTTAAAATAGTTGCCGTCTGTAATTAGATGATAATATAGGAAGAATATTAACTTTCAGAAAAGAAAATTATGGCCCTATGACATTTTCCACTTTCTAATATAAATTCAAGTTACCAAAGAATTTTTAATTCTTCACTGTCTTATCACACAGCATGAGGAGGGTATCTCAGAAGCTAGGATTTGTTCCTGGAAAATATAATCTGTACCTTACTTGGCCAGGTATGGAGAAAAAGCATAACTAAATTAAACAGGGCACCTCTAATTTCATAATATAAGAAAAAAAAAAAACAGGATCTGTGACCCTTCTCTGTGTGTTACTCAGCATAATATCCATTAGTAACAAAAGACAAATAATGGCCCTGTGCTGTCATTTTCTCAATGTGATCATGCTTCATAGTACTGGGTCTAAGTTGCATGGCAAGCAACAGTTTTGTCACATACATAGTATGAGCTGGTGTTACGGGGGAAAATAATGTAATACTATATGGTAGTTCTTCCAAGAGGTTATAATCCATTTAGGGCGGTGCTGAACAGAGAAAAGACAAACTTCAATGAAAATGACAGTATTAAAGTGCTAAATAAAACATGAAATTAAGACGATAGCAGGTACAGAAGGACAAAAGGAATATAGAGAAGTTTATGAAGGAAAAATGTGAAAATGCTTCTTAGTACAATGTTAAAATGGCATGGAGCTAAAAGTAAGACTTGCACATTATATTATGTGCTGGACTAGGAGTCATATCCCACTCCTTCTTCATGGACTGTATGAAAGATCCTATATCCAGTGCACCTTTAACTTGAATGAAGATGGAGGAGCAACACATAAAATAATGGGACCTACTTAACATGAGATGTTCCTATCATTTTTACTTCACCATAAAATTCAAACCTTTTATTATTTAATCATGCTAAATAAACACTTGTAAGCCATCTAAATAGAAAATACTCATTCCTATTGATAAATTGGGTATCCAGTTTTTTCTGCTGAAGTACAGTAAAATGACAACCAGATAATAATTTACCCAAAATTCATCATGGTTTACTTCTGAGGAGAGAGCAAAAGAACAAGACTAGGAGGTGCACACAGGGTACTTCTAAGCTATTAGAAATATTCTCTTTCTTAATGTTTCTTCAAAGAGTTCCTGCGTGCCCCTCTCACGTCCCGTTCTCCCTTTTGTCTTTTATTTACCCTATATATTTCATACACTGGCAAATACAATAGTACTTTTTTAATAGATAAGGAAAAAGATAAATGTGGGAATAAAAGCAGTGTGAACAAAAGTCTCTGAATCAGATAAATCAAGGCGTGAAGGATTAAACATGTTTTGGGCAGAAGCTAGGAGGAAATAGAGTCAAAAAGGTTTCTACTAAGGGAAGTTTCAAATGCCAGAATAAATAGCAATTATGAAGAACAGGAGTTCTTCAACAGTTTATAGTAGCCATTTAAGTGTCAGTTTACATAGCAAAAATTTAAATCCTTTCAATTCTGTTTTTTACATAATCTTGTGTATGTTCTTACTTCTCAATGCTCCCTGACCCTTGTTACCTGAACCTGAAATACAGTATTAACTTCCTACCCAATCTTCCTGTTTTCATTCTACTTGATTTAACACACAATGGTAGGTCTCACCTGACCTTCCACTACACCTTTTGTTGCATACCTGTCCCTATTGCTTCCTCCGTACCTTTGTTCATGTTGCTTCTCCTCCTGTGCGCACCCCATTCATTCACTTAAATATTTTTGGGCATCTACTATGTGCAGAGCTTGTTCCTCTGGCAGAGGGAGAGAAATAAGTAAACTACTAATTGCAGACAGTGGCTCTCAACATTACCCAACATAGGGTAATGTGATACTGAAGGTTGGGTGGTCCTACTTTTAAATAGAATGAGCAGGGAAGTTCTAAACAGATGGCATATGAACTGAGATGTGAATGATGTAAATCCCTTATGTCATTAGGCTTTGGAACATTTAGATATCGGCTAACTCCCTCCTCCAAGTCTCAGATTAATCAGTTTGTTTATAGTTTGTGATATTTAGTATTTCTATTTCATCATTATTTCTGTGCATGTCTTAACCGTAATCTTCTAGTGAAAAGGGTCCTACTTTATATTCCTCAAAGAATAGAGAATGTTTTAAATTAAAAAGCACTCACATGATGTTTTCTGACTATACCTAACTTAAATAACTGAGTAAAGTTAACAGTGATTATCTCTGGGAAGTGGGACTGAGAAGAAAGGTAATTTTACTTCGGGTTTTTACTTTAACTTCTGTAATGTCTGAAATATTTTTAAGACATACTCCTTTAACTGTTAAAAAATTAAACCACAGTTTCAATAGTTTCCAAAGCATAGTACATGAAGTACTTCTCATTCCTTAAGAGAAGAGTAAACTCTCAAATTAACATGGTTATTGCAATGTATGAAAGCATATGCTTTGATTAAACAGATTTGCCAACTTATTCTCCTGACTAAATATATTTTTGAAGTTTGTTTTTGTTTTTAACTCCTTTGAAATTAAACTGCTGTACCTTTGTTCAGTTGAGCCAAGTACTCTAAGTTATAAATTTAAAAAATTTTATATCTAAAATATGCTGAATAGCCCTGGCTGGTGTGGCTCAGTGGATTGAGTGCTGGCCTGCGAACCAAAGGGTCGGTCACCAGTTCAATTCTCAGTCAAGGCACATGTCTGGGTTGCAGGCCAGGTCCCCAATAAGGGGCGTGCAAGAGGCAACCCTACATTGATGTTTTTCCTCCCTTTCCCCTCTGTCTAAAAATAAATTTTAATAAAATATGCTGAATATTAAACAATATAAGCAGAAACTTATAAGGAGAATAATATTTACTTAGCCAACCAAAATGTGAAGGGGTCTGCTGATCAGCAATGCATTCTACAAGGGAAGCTAATCAAGTTAGTTATTAAATATGGTGTCCACTGGTCAAGGCCAGAGGCAATGACAGACTTTTTTTTCCCCTTAAAAGACAAAAGTAGATGTAAGTCATCGACTGGCCACATATAGAGTATTAAAATTTAATTCATCAAGTGTTAAGTTCTGAATTACCATAAGAATAAGAAATGATAAGTTGTAAGTATACAGTTAGTAGGCGGCTGCTGCTACTACTACTACCACCACCACCACCACCACCATTACCACCACCGACCTGAATCGTTTGAGATGTAGTCTGAGAATTTGAGGTAGGTGGCAAATCATAAGCTGTTTTTGGGCTTCTGTGAGTACAACTGGTTTTGAAGAAAACCTTCTACGCTTTGCTGCAATATCAAAGAGAATGAAAACAAAATTTAAGGAAACAAGGAAAAGCTGAGTAAACTTTATCATGCATTACCACAAAGACATGTACTGTATTATAGACATTGTACTATGCTAAAGATAAAGACGTGCCTTGCACTCAAGAAACAAAGTACAATTAAAAAATAAAACAACTTATGAGTTGGTCAAGGCAGACAGACTTGTAAACAAGTAATTGATTTCATATAATCTTGTAAATAAGGCAACAGAATGATATAGTGCTATAATATTTTAAAATGGATTTGGCTATGCCAAATAGGAAAAGTTAAAACTCTCCTTAAACAGACTTTAATATACTCTTCCTAAACTCTTGATTTAAAAACAGACTCATGGTTCTTTGAATGAAGATTACTAAGATACTAGAGGACATGGGTCCTTACTGCCCAGAATACCCCTGCCCACCCCTGAGAAGGCAGGCCTTCATTACCTCTGCAGCTGAGGCCTCCCTCAGGGTCTTGGTTTTGCTATTTTAGTACCAGACCTTAAATGAATGGAACTTAGGGTTCTTTTTGTTGTCCCCTCTGCTTTTCCAGAGGCTGACCTAGAGATTGTGTCCTACAGCCTCTGGCTGGAATACTGGTTTCCAAAATTTGCTCTTAATACCCAGGAACTGTCCTGCATACCAACTCTAACTCTAGCCATAGCAACACCTGCTTTTCATGTAGGAAGTGGAATCAGTCCACCGTAAAACTGTCCTCTAAGCCAGCTCCACTTGTCACCAGAAGCCTTTCCTTCAGAGTCCCTGCCCCTGAGATCAGGTATTATCCAGCTGCTGCTGAATGTCCTGGATCTACATATGGATCATCTCCCAGAATATATGATCCAAGTGTAGCTATACAAGGATGTCAACTCCTTGACTTACAATTTTAATCATTTGCTTTTATGTATTAAAGCAACTTTTTTTAGGCCTTTACATGGTAGTCCCAGCAAAGACACATAAACGTATTATAAAACCATATTCTGGCCCTGGTTGGTGGGGCTTAGTGGATCGGGTGCTGGCCTGCAAACTGAAATGTTGCCAGTTCCAATTCCAGTCAGGGCACATGCCTGGGTTGTGGACCAGGCCCCCAGTTGGGGGTGTGCAAGAGGCAACTGACTGATATATCTCTCACAAATCTTTGTTTCTCTCCCTCTCTCCCTCCCTCCCCCTCCTTCTAAAAAGATAAATAAATAAAATATTTAAAAAGCAAAACCATTTTCTGCATTCATTCATAATAGCATTCTACTCCCAGATTTGGTGATGAAAGCATCTAGGACCACTCACATTTATATCCAAGAAAAAAGTATATATCATTGTACAAATTTGATAAAGATTTATTTTTTTCTCTAACCATATAAATCTTAGGTTCCTTATTAACTGTTTATATTAGAAGCACTCAGAAAACGTTAGTATATGTGGTTTTATAAAATCACCAATTGATGTGATATTTCTTCAATGCTAGATCATCCAATGTGTCCTTTATATTACCTTTGAAGTTTTGTATCTATAGTCCTATAATCATTTTTTTCAGATGTGAAAATTATGGAGAATATCTGAAAATATAAACACTAAAATGCCATGTACACATTGATAGAGAAGATAGACACCAGATAAAGACACAATAGATTTGATGTGCTTTTATACACCATTCCCCTGAAAGATAATGCTTCCCTTTAACTGAAATGGTTCTTTTATCTCCCAGGGTTGGGTGCCTGTGCCCACCTCTATTAGAGACAGTACTATAGTAGATCTTAATTGTCTACCTGTTTCCTCCATTAGGTATGTGAGCACCTTAAAAGTGTCTTACCTCTATCCATAGCAACTAGAACAATCACGAGTATAGAAAAGATAGATGTTTTTAAAATAAATCTTTGTTTTTAGGAAGCCAGTCTCTACAGCAGAAGTTCAACAATTTATTATCTATTACATAGGTATTGTATATACACACATGTATTATCTATATCAATGTTTTGGTAAGTAGCAAAAAGACTTAAAGCAAATGTTTCTTTCAGTGCTAAATAACATGCTTTCCTTTTACTGTTCCTCTTTGCTATGTAATTCTGCCTCACATATTAAATTGAATCTTTTTAATTTTATGAATCTATTTCCATAACTGCTATTTAAGGAATTTTTTCTACCTTCCTTTCATTTGTGTTTCTCTTTGCTAATCTTAGAAAAGCAAGGAGAATATAGAGTTTCTACTTACAGTTACACTGGTCACATACATAGATTTTTCCCTCTAAAGCTTCTGTTTCTGTGAATTTGGCCAACATTTCAGTAACCAGGCATGGCTGAGAAGCAATATCTTTTCCATTGCATTGGTATCTTTCAGGGAATTCCAGTGACAAGTCCCAGAAAGGTTCTATGGTATTTGATTTATTGTCACATGCAAGACATGTAACCTGCAAATAAAAATACTAGTTTCAGCTTAAAAATACTAGTTCCAGCTTACAATCCTCCTGTCAAAACATTTACCCCTTTCATTAGAAGTCACTGCCAATAAAAAAAGCTTTTCTTCTAAAAATGCAATATCAGAATTCTGAATAATCTGCTTTAAATTATTTTCAGGCAATTTTTTATTATTATAATTTTTCCTTCCAAAAGACTGTCATTAAACTAACCATTACCCATTGGTGGACTTTAACTACTAAGCATTCAAAAAGCTCCAAGGATTTTAGCGAAATCTGAATTTAGGTAAAAAAATAAACTGTCGACTCATTTAATCAGACATACATTATGTGTATGTGTATGTATGATACATATTTATATGCATTTAATTTAATGTGTTTAGATCATTAGATCTGCAGTTCTTTGCCCTTTTTCCTTCCTCATCTTTCACTAGTTGATTTTCTCTCCCCAAATCCTTATAACCTCTTAATCATGATACAAGTAAAATACTATTTAGCCTATTTTCATATACAGAGTTTTATATGCAGAGGTATGCAGAGATTTTGAAGCCCTACCAACTGAACTTCAAAAGCTAGTAATAGGACAAATAATGAGGTCATACTCTCACTTAAAGCAAACATCACTACATTAAAATCCTCACCAAAATATAGGTTCCAGCACAAATAATACCCTTTTTTATTACAAAATCTGTTATTATAAAATCATAAGCATATAATTCTGTAATATAAAAATATCACACTCAAGCACACCATATGACATCTTAGGTGAAATGTTCAAATTAAAACTATAAATTATTACAACTATATTATTACCCTACCAACCACACTCAAGCAGGTGTTACTTCTCCCAGACCCTGTATAGAAAGCACAAAGAACATAGGCAGTTCTAACAACTTATATAGGAAATAGAGTAATTAGAAAGAGAAAGAATAATAATATCAAAAAGTGAAGAATTCAGCAAGATTTAATGCCAACAAACACTGAAAATAATTGAATACAGATAATTTGAAATACAGTTGGATGCCTGAACATCAGTATCTTCAAATTTGTTCCCTATTGTATTAAACCCTCCTTTTTTCAATCTCTCAGAGAATGAATATAATAAAATGGTTAACTTAAGACGCTCTATTTCCTAACTTTCTCTCTCCACAAAAGAAAAGCTTTCACATGATAGATAAAAAACTACTTCCAATGATTTATGAAGGAAACTGTAAATAAGTGAGATTTTTTTTTTACATATTTTACATGACTTTTACATATTTGTGAAAGTGATCTATTTTGACCTGGAAACAGTATTAGCTCTAACACACTAGACAAACAGAATGTGCATTATTTTAGGCTTCACTCTTCAAAGTCCCCATAATGAAAATGATATTTTAAAAAATTCATACCTGACTAACAAGTTGTCCATGAAAAATGTTATTCACAACATTCAAAACCTGTTTGATAAGTTTCCTTTGAGAAGTGGGGATGAGAGCTAATAACCTGGTACCAGTTGTCTCTAGTTCATGTTGTACTTTATCCAAAAGTTCACAAAGAAATTCCTGAGCATCTTGTTGGGCATAACCACGAAAAGCAGGAATCAGTCTCCACACTGAGTGTAGCATAGCAAATGGTGAGACCAAGGTCCACTTTCCAGACCACATGACTTGGAACAAAGTATGCAATTCATGACAGAGAGAAATATATGGTGAACTTGACTCCCTTGGTTGAATAAGTTCCATCTTTCTACCCTTTGATGTTCCACCACTTAGTCTGGATGATAAACTTAGGTGTCTGGAGTAAACAGAGCTTATATCATTTTCTTGGCATTCATTCATTTGATATACTGCATCTGCGACTGGCAGATGCTTATAAGATGATCTTGTCTTTTCATTAGCTGTCACAGACAGCCATTGGTTCAGATCAAGTTTTAAAAAACATTGTCGAAAAATAAGTAAATGACTCAATACTTGAAGAACAGAATTCATATAGCAAGTATTTCCCAAATTTCTTAATCCTGTTACACCAGGAGTTACAGTTGGCCTTTGTTTAATTGAGGGGTCACTGTTTTTTTTCAATCTTACATCTTCTGAGGTAGATAACACTTTATCTTTTGCTGGTGATGCTGGCGATGCTGGCATTTGTAGAGGTTCTTGAATAGGAACTATTTCTAATGTGGACAGAGGTAGACCTTGCAAACGTAGACTCTTTCTCGGAGGCGTATTTTCCAGTTCTGCTTTAACTTGATGCTCTAATTCTTGCCGTCTTTTCTTAACTTCTCTTTTTTCTGTTTTTTCCTGAAATTGTTCTTCTTGCCTTTTTCTTCCAATGGGTGACTGTTCAAACCAAATTCGAAAACTTTTACCCAGTAGGATCCTTCTCCTGTGCCAAAGAGCAGTATACATTTGATTTTCATTTCGAAGCTGAGATTGGGCACCATCATGCAAGAAATAAGAATCATCACTTATACTCATAGATCGTAAAACCCTTCCACTACGAGTGGTGTAGTGATAATTTTGACTTTTGATTGCACTTAATGTACTTCGTAGTAACTTCAGGTCTCCACTTGCATTATCATTAAGAACATAATCATCACAAAGGTAACAAAAAACATACATATCATTCACCTCTAGTGCGGCAGGATGACTGCTTTCTTGAAAGTGCTTGAGTGCATGTTCTTCAATATATCTTCCACAGGCGACGTGGGAACAGCTAAGGCAAGCCCAGATCGACTCAGTTGTATTGCAGTCCACACAATGCCACTTCTGAGGGTTGAGAATGGAATGGTCTTGAGCAAGGTGCAACTGCCCAATGTGTTTGCACTTATCCATTGTTAGCATTTGTTTAGTCTAGCTGAGAAGCACATAATCCAAGTAAGTCTCTGTTCATGCGTGAAGCATCTGAAAACGAAGCAGAACACTGTCAATTTTAATAAAATAAAAACAAGCCAATAGTTTTCTCTTTTATAAAGTATTTTTTCAGGGATAATTTTTATAAATTTGCTTCCTCTGCTCAATTTCTGGGCTGCCTGTCATAATACCATTGGCAGTTCTCACATTTCCTTTGCTGTAGACTTCTCTAATTTCTCATCCACCTTACTCTGAAAGAACATATACTTCATTTTACTTTCTTTTAGTAAAGTAAAGGAGGTTTCCTTTAAACTTTAGTAAAGTAGAGGGGGTTTACTTTAAAAACTTTTTAAATTTTCTGCCACCATCTACTGGTAAAGAATAGGTAGTGACCACTTTTCACTGAACTAGAACCCATCCCTTTTACCCAATAGTGTGAGGTCAGGTTAAAATTGGGACTGGCAAGACCAAAATATATCTCACTAATATCTACATTCTGAGAACTCTATGTGGAACTACTAAATCATACTCCTACTTTAAAAACATGAGTTTTAAACAGAAAAATTTAGGTTTGAATTCTACCTCTGCCACATACCATCATATGTCTGATTTGAGCAAATATTTTAACTTCTCTAAACTTCATCTGTAAAACAGGGAAAATCATACCAACCTCGAATTGTAGAAGAATTGAAATAATGAGACACCTGACACATAGTAAATCCTCAATTAATTGTAGCTATAATGGTAGCTATAGTGAATAAATCTTAATATTGTCTTTTGTTTATTTAAATAAGTTATATTTAATATTTTACTAAATTACCTTTTTATTTTTGGCTTTACATTAGTAAATCAATAATGACCTTTATTTTGTGGCTCTATAACCTACTCTGATTTTATAGACTTGACAGTTTGCCTTAGGAACAGAGAAAGACAGAAGGGACTGCCTTTGTGTTTGAAAGACTCTCAGGAATGTGCAAGAACATGTAAGCAAATAAATAGAAAAGGGAAAAATACAAAGTGGACAACAATATAATAAACTTACATTCTGGTAGGTCTAAGCTTTATGCGGAATTACAATCTTATGCTAAAAATCAAACACACAAATATACCCACACAGACACACCCACACAAAGACAACATAATAAAACAATACAAACAAAACCTATAGGATTTTGACATTGAAACTTGTTCCTTTATCAGAAAAAGTCAGGAATACTTCTGCTACAAGTACCTAAAAATAGTGAATTGAAATCTAGTTAAAAGTTGGGATCACAAGACATCTTCTTCATTGATTTAACATAAATTGAACACAAATTTCTGGTTACAGGTGGAAACCTAGTTATAAAACACTCAGAATATTATATGTAGCATGATCAATGCTTTCATTTTTTTAGGGCAGCAAGACAATATAAATTTCAATGGTACTTGTGGGTGCCATCTCTAGAGACCTAAGAAAAATGCAAAGGTAAAGTTGATTTTTGGTTTCTTTCCACATCTTTTCTTAACTTTTACATATAGGGTATCCCTGAATATGGACTTAAGACTGACCAGTCCAATATTCACATGTGTACACATTTTAAGTTTACTATTTTTCCCTAAAAATTTCCTGAGGTCCAAAATCTGGTCAAATAGAGTATTTTATTAGAACTCCTAACATTCAACAATAGTTGCTAATGGCAAAACCAAGACCTCAGTGACTAACATGCTCCACTATCTAAAATGTTTCCAAGTACTCAGGCTAAAAATCTTGCAGTCATCCTTGACTTCTCTTTTACTCTCCCCACACCAATCGTTCATGAAAAATGGTTGGCTCTACCTTCAAAATCTATCTAGAATATGACTACTTATTACCTCTACTACTACCAGGTAGTCCATGCTATAAATGGCTCTCACCTGAATTACTGCAATGATGCTCCTAAACAGTCTCCCAGCTTTGATACTTGCTGCCATCAAATGCTTATTCTCCACACAGCAGCTGCACACTTTGCCTTTAGACTCAGACAATCAGGGTCTAGACCTGACATTTCAGAGGGCCCCTGCTCTGGCCCTAGCACATTAGGTGAAGTCAGTAGTCAAGGGTATGTGGCCACCTGGAACCTGCACATATCCCCAAACTGCCTTTTAGACCCACTCACTGGTTCCTTGTAACCTTGGGAATTCCCTTCCCCAATAATCCCCAGGTCTGCTTCCAGGACCTATAGACAATAAAAAGCCACTGAGAATTCTGTAGAGGAGAATCACATGATCAGATAGTAGCATATCTAGAGGGACAGGTGATTAAAAGAGATTCTTCCACTCCAGAAATTATAAGGAAATTAGAGCTGTAGCAGTGTTGAAGCAAAGATGTGAACCAAGATATATCAGTGCTAAACAAATATTGGTTGAAAAAACTGATATTTTAAAAAAAAATGATTCAATATAGAGATTAAGAGAAGACTCTAAGGCTCTCTTCTATCTACTTTTATTTTAAAAGGGATCATACAAAGAATGCAGAGATAATTTAGTTAAACAATTGTTTCTGGCAAGTCAGATAATAATTATTTAACTATCTGAAACGATGAAGAGGGAAATATTGTTTATTTTCACTCAAAGAAAGTTATTTCATTCTAAAACTTTAAAGAGGTGGTATGAGTCAACACTTTGAACAATGTTCAGAAAAGAAGAATCAAAAGAAAAAACCTAGAAATATTTTATATACATATAAAAATATTTTTAAAATATTAATATATACATATTAAAAATACTAATATATACATATTCTGGTTTTATCTCTGGTAGTGGGACTGCAAGTTATTTTCTTTTTATTAATCCATATTTTCAAATTTTCAAAAATAATAATCATGATACTTCTATAATAAGTTTTAAGTAGGAAAGATAATGCTATGCATGTGCTAAACTATACTCTAGCCTCTAATTCCTTCTCTATATTCTGCTAATAAATTCCCTTGGTTACAAGGAATTTGCCTACTTCATTGTATTTGTTACTAAAAATGTCTATTTAGATGATGGCAATGTCCCTGGCCTTCAATAGCAAGTGGCTTATAATTGAATAGCATGATTCCATTCAATGCAAAATTGTGAAAAGTGTGGAATGTTGATCAGATGCCATCTCTCTGACAGGCAACACAGCAGGAGAGCAGCATCATAGCAAATGGTTAGGGAGCACACTCTGGAATCCAAATGCCTGAGTTTAACACTTGGCTGTGTTTACTATGTGACCTAGACAAATTATTTATGCTCCATATTCCTCAGTTTTCTTATTTGGAAAATAACAGTGATATTAACACCAATAAGATTGTTGAGGGGTCAGAGAAACTTGTATTTGCAAAGCACTTAGAACAATTCCTGGCACTAAATAATATGCCCCTCAGTACATCTTAATGGTCACCAATAACACTAACAATAATGATAATAATGTTATGTTAATTTCTTATAGTGTTATCACTTTTAGTCAAGGGTTCCTTCTCAGTCAAATGTGTCCTAAAGCTCAGCTAAGGTGCTGATAATTAAGACCTTAGCTGAGAATTAAGGTCTGACCTCTCCCAGGGGTATTTGCATTTTAAAAGGAGGTCTCTCAAAAATAAAGTCTTTTTAAAAATCCGAAGAAGTGAAACCAGAATGGTGTAATGACAGATCAGGAGATTAATATTTTAGAGTAGGGGCCCACTTACCCTGTCTACTTATGAAAGAATTCAGTAGAGGATGGACAGGCAAGTGAAGGACAGGGAGGAAAGCAGGAAAAAGCTAGAGAAGCAGGTTTGCTGGCACCAAAGATCTCCAGTTCGCTCTGTTGCTTGGAGCCAAAGCTCAGAGACAGTCACTAGGATATCTCCAAAGGGGCTTCATCACATATACAAATATTGACAAGCTTGGAAGAAAAAGGGGGCAGGGGGTGTGTCAGAGTATTTTCTTTACACTTTTTCCATTTTCCTCTATAGAGTTCAGAGCACTTTTTTTCATTTGCTAATCCACTGCTGAGAATACTAACTCAGGCTCTAGCTGACTAGGTATGTGATTTTGGCAATATACTCACTGTAAAGAGAGATAATAGAACATTTTTGTATCCCCTATACAGACTCTGATAAAATATCACCTATACCTACATGTAACAGCAACATAAAAATAGTCAAAATATTTTGTTTTCTTTTTGAAAAATATTTTATTTACTTATTTTTAGAGGAAGGGAAAGGAGGGAGAAAGAGACGGAGGGAACATTGATGTGTGAGAGATACATCGATTGGTTGCCTCTTGCATGCCCCCATCCAGGGACCTGGCACAAAACCCAGGCATACGCCCTGACTGGGAATTGAACCAGTGACCTTTCAGTCTGCAGGCCAGCGCTCAATCCACTGAGCCACACCAGCCATGGCTCAAGATATTTTGAATGAAAACTATATATATTAAAATTATTTTAACATTTTCTCATATACTTAAAAAAAGTCTCAAACTTTAAATTCCAATTAATAGCTATGAAATGGCTTTTTAAAAAACCAAATATACTAATCTTTATTTTAAAGACAGATGACTTATACATATTCTGAAAGCTTCTTTTTTTGTCATTTTTCACTCATTAAAGAGAATTAAAAATTTTTAATTCTTAAAAAAACTATTCAAGCTGTTCAAGCTTTTCATGTCATATAAATGAACATTTTTATTTTCAAAATTCCCTTCAGCAAATTTCTAAAGTTGAAGAAAATAACTATTGAACTTACTGAGTTAGCATATCCTTAAAGCAATTATAAAATAGAAAGCTAAAATGACTGGAAGAAAAAAAATGTGTAAAATCTAACTCTACATGGTATTTTTAGTCAAAAATTTACATCACACACAAAAATCAAGTAAGATCACAGGTAACATATTTAACCTATTAAAGTTCAACAGCACAAAATTGCTAATAGTTACCACCCAGTGAGAATTCTGACATAAATCTTTATTTACTCATTGCAGTATAAATCCAGGTTTGAACATGTAGCAATACTTTTCTGACCTAA